GTGGCCTTCAGCCAGGATTCATCCAGAGCTATCTTATCGCTTCCCAGCTCGGGCGGGGAGACTTCCGAGGCGACACGATCGTTGAGAACAGCTCTTAGTAGCTGCGTGAGAATCTGCAAGGATGTTTGGAGGAGCTTGTAGGACCTTCGAGTCTGCGTCGACGGCCTTAGAACCTTAGCTAGTGCCGACACAGTTCGCGGCATGATGCTGGCAAGCACCACGCGGTCCGTGACTCGAGCATAAAGTGTCTGCAAAGCCCTAGCGGCTGTCAGGCAGAGCTCATCTGACCTATCATCGACAATTCCCTCAAGCAGAATATATACTGTTTGATCGACAACTGTCGCGGTGCCGATCTCGTGATATATTGTCCGTTCTGGAACAGCCCCTTCCAAGACTGTGAATATAGCACTAAGGCAGTCAAAGCCAGCAATACACAGTTCTTCTGATACCTTAGGCTTCGGTAATTGCTTCTCTTCCGCCTTGTTCGGAGACCCCCCCACGATCAATGTCAACAGGATTATGAGTTGCTTGCCCATTGCAGGAGACAGCCGTTGCCGCCATCCATTGGCGACCAATATCCGTAAACAGTGGACGGCGGACTCCAAGCATCGTGCGGGTAGTCTTTGTGTCTCATTGAAGATATGCGATAAAGGAAAGAATGCATATTCAGCGAGCTTCTCGTCGAGGGTATTGTTCCCCGCAAGTTCCTTTAAACAGTTGTGTACCGGCTCAAGGACTCGGGATACATCGGCGGCGGAAGCTTGATTTCCCCGAAAGCGGAGTCCGACAGCGCTTAGTTCGACGCATGGCGCTCGGAGCTATTCAGAGATCAGTACTATTGTCCTAAAAGGTGAACGAAGCATATCATACCTGCTTGAAAGATTCCTGCCGGAGGTTGTCCATTGCAGCCGAACAACACCGGGCAGCGTCAAGTTCGTTAGATAATAGGCTGGGTGCTGAGCGAGTGGCAGTGCTGGATCAGTCAAGCATCAAGAGCCCCATTGTAAACACCGTCTAGCGGACCCATCGCGATCGAATACAGCGGGACTGCATCCCAAAACTGTACCGCTCTGTCATCATCTGCCGGCACAACCAAGCGGTGAACCTAATCTATCCCAAATGGGCAAGATAGCACTGCACGTGATACATTAGCGCGTCTCAACGCGTGGGAAACCCGACAGCTGCCTGCGATACAGAGGAGCGACCAGTGTTGCCTTGGGTATTTTAATTGCGGCTCAGGTCTGCTCGGAATATATATTGGGCCATATTCCGTGTCCATTTTGCTCTGTGAGAAACACTTATGCGGGTTTTGCGGATTCCAAAGCTTGCGCTTTTATCGCTCACGCGCTCGAGACCTAGCTTCTGCATACGATCTGCAGGACAACACAATATCTTGGCCACATCAATCTCGAGGCTATCCACAGGCTTGCTATCTGCTACTATTGCAGCCCAGCAAAATTCTAATTTGAACAAAACAATATTTTCACCATCGCGAATCATGGCAGACGACAAAAGCAGGAAGCAGGCTACCCTGGGGTATGTACGGGATGGACAACAGACGATTGGGTGCGTCGACACTATTCGATGGCGCATGCGCCCTTTCATCCTGACCTCTCTCGGCTCTTGTTTTTCGTTCACTCCGCTAATTCATACTATTCGTCTTGCAGGAGGTTTTTCGGCTCCGGTGCCAGCCAACCGCCGAAGAAGCAAACCACATTAGCTTTTGGTGGGCGGAGACAAGCAGCAAGCAGTGATACCGCTGATGCGGAGACCAAGGATAGCACCAATGGAGCTAAATTGGAAGATACCACCGACTCAGCACCAATTGCTGCCCCCAATGGAACAGAGCCAACGAAGGGCGTGAAGCGGGAAAAGAGCGCCGAGGCGGAAGAAAGCGATGGTTCCGATGTCCAGCCTGTCTCTAAGAGGAGACGAAGGGCCTCAACGAAGACCTCTCCAGCTGCCAAGAAGCAATCCGCATCCCCGAAGAAGCCCGAATCTACAAAGCTGAAGATTGAATCGCCATCCCCAAAACCAGCCTCTAAAAAGCCCTCCGATGTTACTCCCGAAGAAAAGTCACCGTCAGTAGAAGAAGAGGAGGATCCATTGGAAAGCGAAGATGAAGATGACCTCAAGCCGGAGCTCACGAAGAAATCAATTGAAAAATTCCAAGCCAAATTGAAAGGCAGTGGTAAAGACCCATATCCAGACTGGAAAGCAGGTGACCCTGTTCCTTATGCTGCGTTATGTACCACGTTTTCTCTGGTAGAGATGACCAGAAAGCGCTTGGAAATCACGGACCACTGTTCTCTTTTCCTTCGTCAGGTTCTTCGCCTGACCCCTGCTGATTTCCTACCCACTGTTCAGCTGATGATTAACAAACTGGCTGCCGATTATGCCGGAATTGAACTGGGCATCGGAGAGTCATTGATCATGAAAGCTATTGGTGAATGTACCGGCCGCAGCCTTGCCATCATCAAAGCCGACCAACGGGAGATTGGAGACCTGGGATTGGTCGCTGCCAAAAGTCGGTCAAACCAGCCTACCATGTTCAAACCCAAGCCTTTGACTGTTCGAGGTGTGCATGAAGGCCTTCTTGGAATTGCCAAGGTCCAGGGTCATGGATCTCAGGACAAAAAGATTTCAGGCATCAAGAAACTGTTGGCTGCAGCTGATGCTGATACTGCTGGCAAGGGAGGCAAAGGAGTGGATGTCACCAAGGATAAAGGCGGCCCCAGCGAAGCCAAATATATCGTTCGCTTTTTGGAGGGTAAGCTGAGACTGGGACTTGCAGAGAAGACAGTTCTTGTCGCTGTTTCTCGGGCAGTTCAGACTCACGAGGCCGAATCAACCGGCAAGAAGATCCCGTCCGCAGAGCAAATGGCTGAAGGTGAAAACATCTTCAAGACTGTTTACAGCGAGCTTCCTGCCTACGAAGTAATCATTCCTGCCGTTCTTGAGCATGGTCTCTTAAAGCTGCCTGAAGTCTGCAAGCTTTCTCCTGGAATTCCTATCAAGCCCATGCTTGCCAAACCGACCAAGTCTATCACTGAAGTCCTCGACCGGTTCGAAGGAAAGGAATTCACTTGCGAATATAAGTACGATGGAGAAAGAGCCCAGATCCATTTTGTGTCTCCAGATTCTATCCACCAGTATCCTGGAGCCTTGGACACACTGCAGAAGGACAGCAAGGGACTTTCCTCAATCTTCTCCCGCAACTCGGAAGATCTCTCGAAGAAGTATCCCGATGTTTTAGGCAAGCTTGACACGTGGGTCAAAGCTGACGTTAAGAGCTTTGTTCTTGACTGTGAGACTGTCGCATGGGATATGGAGGCCAAAAAGGTTCTTCCATTCCAGCAACTGATGACTCGCAAGCGCAAGGATGTCAAAGCAGAAGATGTCAAGGTCAAGGTCTGCGTATACGCATTTGATCTGCTTTTCTTCAATGGAGAGGTAGGACAATTTCCCCTTTAATCTCTATACAATAGTGATTCGCTGCATATCTCGAGTCGCTTTGTGCCATATTTGATTGTTCCAGCTAACTTTTCAATAGCCCTGCGTGAAGAAGTCTCTGCGGGAACGGCGAGAGCTTATGCATGAATGCTTCCAACCGGTTGAGGGGGAGTTCCAGTTTGCCCAATATGGCAACTCTAATGTCCTCGATGAGATCCAAGAATTGCTCGAGGCTAGTGTTAAGGCTTCTTGTGAGGGTCTTATGGTGAAGATGCTAGACACAGCAGAGAGTGGCTATGAGCCAAGCAAGCGGAGTCGCAACTGGCTGAAGGTATGGTGCCTCTATTTATTAGTTACTTCAACGGTTGCTAACTTTTATGAAGGTCAAAAAAGATTATCTCGCCGGTGTTGGTGACTCTCTCGATCTTGTCGTACTTGGGGCCTACTATGGTCGTGGAAAACGTACTTCGGTTTATGGTGCATTCCTTCTCGCTGCCTACAACCCCAACAAGGACACATATGAGACCATATGTAACATCGGCACTGGCTTCTCTGAGGTTCTACTTGAAGAGCTACACCAGACGCTAGTTCCTCTGGTAATTGACCGCCCAAAGCCATTTTACACTCACTCGACCGTCCCCAAGGACCAACCGGATGTTTGGTTTGAGCCAAGGCTGGTGTGGGAAGTGAAAACAGCCGATTTGACCCTAAGCCCACGCTACCAAGCCGCTGCCGATGAGTTCCAAGGGACATCCGACGGTGGAAAGGGCGTGTCTCTGCGTTTCCCGCGATATATTAAATCCCGCGACGATAAGAAGCCAGATGAGGCTACTACCACCCGTGCTGTGGCGGAGATGTATCGGAAACAAGAAGCAGTCACTAAGGAGACCACGGGCAAGGGAGGTGTGGATGATGACTTTGAGTATTGAAGCGGTTTTATCAGGCGCACTATAGCGAGTGTAATTGAATCCATTAGATATCGATATTACGGTCTCTTCATTTTTAGAATGGCACCATTGCTGAGTGGGGGAGCATCATTTAGGGCTTCCCGTGGTGCCATCTGTAACTGTAACCTTCCAGTGTATATTAACCCATAGGCACCAATCTATTCATTTACTTTTAATTTAATATCTCTTTCTGATACAACACCCCTGTTGATCCACATCCAATATCATGACCTTATTCTATACTTCCGGCTATCAGCGGAATATCAGCGGACTCTCCGACGCTTGGCGCCGCAAGCCAAGCAGCCGGACCCTGCTTGGCCCCTACGTCGGCCTTACTTCCGCCTTTCTTTGTTCATAGCACGTCTTGCTGATGTCTTGGAAGTGGCCGATAACACGAAATAACATCATGCATATCTTTCTTGGCACCGAGGAATGTAACATGCCCCCCTTCGACGGCAAGGTGCCCACTCCGCCATGGCTACTAGCTTACTGCGCGCGTGGAGTCCCAGCACTTATATTTCAGTGTCGGTCCGGAATGTAGCCCGTCTTGTTGTCTGCACGTTTCTTTTAAGCTGTGTGGGTGCGTACTTGATTCTCGATATGCGCGTGTTTCAATTGACGACGGCCCTCGGGTCGATCATCGTTTCTGCGGCAGCCCTTACTCCTGAGTCAGTACCGATCTTCTACCTATTTCATCCATTGTAATTCTTGGCTGGTTACTAATTTCCTTTGTAGAGAGCTTATCGCAGCTCCGAGACGGGGTGAGGCTGTTCCCAATCCTTCGGGGGTGAGTTGCACTATTGTATGTAGATATGGACCAATGTTATTGACCTGACATAGGAAGTCGCGCTCTTTTCCACCTCTGAATATTCCTTCAAGACCCATACCACATCATCATGGTGGAGTCTGCTGGATCTGGAGACTGGAAAAGTGACTCAACTCACCAACGACAGCAATGTCTCTGAATTGACTTGGCTAGGGTCTACTGACTCGGGTCTGTTGTATATCAACGGCACTAATGCTGAGATTCCTGGAGGTGCCGAGATTTGGGTGTCAGATACCTCGGATTTTACCACCTCGTGAGTTTATATACATATTTGGACGAAACGTTCCTAACTTGTGTGCAGTGCCTACAAGGCAGCTTCATTGCCAGCGCCGCTTTCTGGCCTCAAGACAGCCATCACCAAGTCTGGAGATATTAATTTCTTGGTGTATGGAGAGTCTTGGCCCAATGGAACGGCGTACAATGAAGAGCTCGCTGCTAAGCCCCTAAGCTCGGCACGTATCTACGACAGTATTTACGTCCGCCACTGGGATACCTGGCTCACGACGAGATTCAATGCTATCTTCTCGGGAACTTTGAAGAAGAAAAGAGCCGGATATGGAGCAACATCCAGCTACACTTCTAGTGGATCTCTCAAGAACCTCGTCGCAGGAGTCAAGAACCTCGAGTCACCCTATCCGCCATTCGGTGATTCGTCTGACTATGACATCTCCCCCAACGGAAAATTGGTCGCATTCAAGAGCAAGGCTCCTGAACTGCCACGTGCAAACAACACTGCTTCATATATCTATGTTGTTCCCCATGATGGATCCAAAAAGGCCGTGGCTATCAATGGCCCAGACAGTCCTGGCACACCGAAAGACATCAAGGGTGATTCAAGCAGTCCTTCCTTTTCCCCAGATGGTCGTCACCTTGCATATCTTCAAATGGAAGATATCTCCTACGAGTCGGACCGTCGCACTGTCTACATTTACACTATTGACTCCAAGGATACTATTCGCACATTGGCCAAGAACTGGGACCGCTCACCTGGGGCAATCAAGTGGACTGCTGACGGTAAGAACCTAGTTTTGAACACTGAGGATTTTGCACGCTCTCGACTCTTCTTGCTACCTGCCGATGCTGGTGATGATTTCAAGCCTAAGAACTTCACCGACGGTGGAGTAGTGGCTGCTTACTACAGCCTGCCTAACGGAGACTATTTGGTTTCTGGTTCCGCTATCTATACTAGCCGCACAGTTTACACCGCAAAGCCTGGCAAGGGCGTCACAGGTGTTGTCTTCTCTGCCAACGAAGTTGACCCCGCCCTCAAGAGCTTTGGCCCATCGGACGTTGATGAGTTCTACTATAAGGGAAACTGGACAGATGTAAGTCTACTGTTTTCTCATAGAAATAAAGTGATACCAACGCATTAACGGTATAGATTCACTCCTGGATCATTTACCCCTCGAACTTTGATAAGTCGAAGTCATACCCGCTTCTGTTCTATATTCACGGTGGACCCCAAGGCTCTTGGGCTGACTCCTGGAGCACTCGGTGGAACTACAAGGTCTTCGCCGACCAAGGATATGTGGTTGTCGCGCCCAATCCAACTGGCAGCACTGGGTTTGGTGATAAGCTCACGGATGAGATCGCGAACAATTGGGGTATGTCATTCTCACCACTCAATGCCATTATTACCTTCTAAATATCAACAGGAAGCTACCCTTACGATGACTTGGTCAAAGGTTGGGAGTATGTCCGGGACAACTTCGACTTTATCGATACCGACCGCGGTGTGGCAGCTGGCGCCAGCTACGGTGGCTTCATGATCAACTGGATCCAGGGTAATCCTCTAGGCCGCGAGTTCAAGGCTCTGGCCAGTCACGATGGCACATTTGTGGCTGACGCAAAGGTCTCAACCGAGGAGCTGTGGTTCATGGAGCATGAGGTATGTATCTTATTCGTGATATTCACTCTGTTCATATACTGACTCTTCCAAAGTTCAACGGCACATTCTGGGACAACCGTGACAACTACCGTCGATGGGATCCATCTGCTCCAGAGCACATTAAGCAATTCGCTACCCCACAGCTCATCATCCACAGTGATTTGGATTATCGGCTTCCCATCTCTGAGGGCCTGGCGCTTTTCAATGTGTTGCAGGAGCGAGGTGTTCCAAGCCGGCTGCTCAGTTTCCCTGATGAAAACCATTGGTAAGTAAATAGATACCTTTGAACGGGGATGCATCATTGGAGAGTCATAGAGCTAACCTAATGCCATTGAAATAGGGTCATCAACAAGGAAAACAGTCTTGTCTGGCATCAACAGGTCTTAGGATGGCTCAATAAGTACGCTGGCATTGACACCCCGGGCTCTGTCAGTTTGGACGACACTACAGTTCCTGTTGTGGATTATAATCCTCAGTTTTAGGTGTCGTTAGCTTCAAATGACGATCTTTTACCTGTAATGTCTCAGGTGGTTTGTTTCATATTTCTTTCTTTGCAGTTTCTATGCTGTATCTAAGTTCTTCTATGCATGAACAATGGAATCATTACGATATAAAGACCCTTCTTCTTATGTGCTTTGTGTAATATGGCAGGTCTTTCTCATGGAATCTGACGGGTTACCAACAACGAAGATATAAAGTTCCCCATTGCCTACAAACGTTTTCCAGCAAACGCATTACCTATCAAACGCATCACCACTCTTCTAACTCCTCCCCCCAAATTTTATCTTCTCTGCCATAGCTCTTCATCAACTTCTTTTTCCAACCAGCAACCATCATGCCTCTCAAACCTTCCTCCCGTAAGGGCGCCAAGAAGGGTATGTCCCATACTTTGTCCCCTCACCCATCATCATCGCCCATCAGAAAGAAACAGAAAGGTAGACAATCTGTCATCCTAGAAAGAGCTAACAGCAGCTCCCCTCCAGGAGTCTCCAAGACGGAGCCCCCCTCTAACGGAGCCCAAACCCCAAGTGAGTACTGTAATCGACTTACAGACCTTCAGCGGGCTTTCCTCGATAGCGCTACACAACAGACAGATTCTAACCCCTATGCCTTTGGTGCAGAGATCAAAACCGAGATGTCTTCTCCCACTCCCGCTTCTGTCGCCAATGGCGAGAACGAGAGTGAGTACAATTTTGACTTGACTCCTGTCCCAGACTCAGTCTCAGCCCCATTCCCATGTACCGAGGATGATCTTACATTATGTCACGCACCCACTGCCGATCCTACTGGCTACCCTATCTTTGTTTCCCGAAATGGACTCTGGGACTGGTATTATCTTGCCTCTAACAACAACACTATAGAGTCTTCCGCTACCCCTGCCAATGAAACAACCAACGGAACTACCAAGAACACGAAGAGTGAGTTTGCCAATGGTCTCAGTCTTTCCCCGAATCAGTTTCCCTGTACCGAGGACGACATCACCTTGTTTCCTTGTCCCAACCCTGGTCCCAATTCTGCGAACAATCCCACTTTCTCTTCTCAAAATGGACGTTGGGAATGGATCTTTCTCCCCTCTAACACGGATACAGAGTCTTCCCCTACCAAGGTCAAAATGGAGAACATCCCTGAGGCCAGCCCAAGGGTTCAGCGACCGAGCAACCCCATCTCCACTACATTCTCCGCCGCCGATCTGGACCGCTTCATCTTCCCATACGGTACCCACGACAGCGATGATGATATCTCCTCTGTGCCCTCGCTGGTTGGAAACATGGTGGAGCAAGCCAGAACTGCGAAGCATGTGAGGTTCTTCATGAACACTTCCCATGACAAACACTTCGTCCCGATCGAAGTGCCCGCTCTCACTGGAAACGAGAACTGGGACGCCTGGCTGGCCGCCATGCGCCTGCTCTTCCGCCAGCACTCAGTGTGGCCTATCGTGACTGCGGAGCTTCAGCCACTGTCTCCAGGTCACAATCTGTACCTGTGGTACCAGCGCATGTGCGATTGTGCAGTCGCCCTCATCTACGCCAACGTCTCCGAGGAGGTCCGCAAGACTCCTTGCTTCATGAGCACCGTACGCGAAGATGATGCTGATGTTCTGATGTCTCATCTGTACGCTCACTACTCCGAGCCTGATTCAACTCACCCCCACGAGGAGTCTGAGCTTGATTAGACGGATTTTGTTTGGGGTTTTGGGGTTTGGCGAGGATTTGCGTGTTGTGGGAAGTGCACATTACAATATGTACATTTTCCTAGGGTTCCCGGATCTTTCACCCTTCTTGCCCGGATCTTTCGACATCTGATCATTGATGCATTTTTTTACTCTTAACAGATTGTTTAATGGGTCTCTTGTGCATTCTTACTTTGGTAGTTCAACATTCTTCTCCAGCCTCCATAAGTTGTCAATTGAACGAAATTCAGAACAAGTCCAGAGATCCTCTCAGTAACGAAAAGAGTAGACTCTTCCATATGTATTATCCTTGAATTAATAAGGTTCTCGTAGTATATAGACAAGAAACGCCCTAACAAGGCATGCTGATGCTGCCTTTCACTTCTAACCACGTCCCTTTGAATGTTTTTCTCTCTTGACGTTTGAATTTATTTATCTTTTCCAGCAATACAACTTATCTCCGTTCTTATCTCCACCGCTAACTACGGCCCGTACAGCATGGAAGTTCTCTGAGCACGCCAATAACGACAGCCTTCGGATTTAAGATCAACACCCCTATCCTTAAGGCCGAAACTACGTCGATTTAGGAATCCTTGCCCTCGCTCAAACTGATAAGGATTGAAAACAGTTAGTAGGAACAGACATAGAAAACAGCTCCCAATATTCGGGCTTAATGGAGGGCTCGGCGTTAAGGTAACCCCGCATATTTACATACGTGACAAGCAACTACATGCTTACTTGGGCATAGACCATAAAAGCAGATCTTCTACTTTCACTACGTTCCACATAATCCAGCTACTAACGTTGACCGGGATCCTCAAAGAAAGAAAATCCGCAGCGATCCGTCAGGCATCTACCATGACTGCAACACACCAAGCCGCTATCCTACCACAGAAGGGCGGTCCCCTGTCTATTGAGAAGCGCGCCACACCCGAGCCCGGTCCCAATGAGGTCCTCATCGAAGTCAAGGCGGTCGCCTTGAACCCCGTCGACTATTACCAGCGTGACTTCGGCCTGCCCCCTGTGCCTATCTACCCAGCTGTGATCGGGTCCGATACTTCTGGTCTCATCACAAAGGTGGGGTCCAATGTCTCCACAGCTCCCGCTCCAGGAAGCCGAGTTATTGCATTTGCCTCATCATTCTACCAGAATGGCTCGCCAGACCACGGTGCCTTCCAAAAATATGCTCTAGCACAATCCGAAGGCGTCATCGCGCTTCCAGAGCACCTCTCGTTCGAGGAAGGTGCTGTCTTCCCCTTGGCTGTCTTAACCGCCTTGACAGCCTGGACCACCATCGGCATCTCGCTGGATACAAAGTACACCCCACAGGATACACAGGCGGTGCTGATTTGGGGCGGAGCGAGTAGCGTAGGCACTTTCGCCATTCAATCAGCCAAGTCACTCGGCTTCACCGTTTACGCCACTGCCAGTCCCAGGCACCATGATTACCTCAAGACGCTTGGAGCGCATGCGGTTTTTGACTATAAAGCGAGCGATGTCGTCTCACAGATTGTCGAAGCTGTGAGGAAGGATGGTGTCAATCTGCACACTGCACACTGTGTTGTTAATGGAGGTCTGCAGCCAACGCTAGACGTTCTTAAAGAAACAAAGGGCGATGCAGCTGCTAAGGTTGCTCATTCGCCTATCTTACCCGCGGATCATCCGACGCTCGAGAACACGGAGATTAAATTCAATTTTCCATCGATGGATCCGACTGAGAGGGGCAAGCATATGTACCTATGCTTCCACGGATGGCTAAAAGACGGTCTGAAGTCCGGTTCAGTTGTTCCCAGTCCGGCTCTCCAAATTGAGGGTGGCAGTCTAGAAGGTTTGAACCCAGCACTGGATAAGTTGAAGGCTGGTGTCAGTGGGGCTAAGATTGTTTTGTCAATCTGATACCAATATAAGTAGTTGGAGGTGGATAGTCTCAATAAAGAAGTTGGTCTGGTCTCCAATTGATGGAGATATGAAGTGATAAAATAACAAAAGGCTTCGAAAGTTGTATACATATGAATCTTTATTCTAGGCGATGAAGTGTGCTATACACAACTTTGGTCGCATTGGTCAAAATCATGCTTATGCGGATGTAAAATGCAGATATATAACCTACCAGCTATTATTGTTTTTCTTTTTAAAAGGTATCATATAACTGTAGAGTATATATGTGATTCATTAATTAATTAACAGAATTCTTTTCATATGGATCAGGCAAAACAACAAGATTTATACTACAAGGTCGACAAATAGGCTCGATTCCCAAGTCATTGAGGACCTAACATAGATGGTAGTAGGCGCCTGGTCCCTTAAGTTCACACCCGGGGCCCTAAGGCCCCGGCACCTGAGTCCTCAACTATGAAGACGGAATGAGTATAACCTAGAGAGTCTTTTGCTGGTACTAAACTCCCTGCCGGGCACACATTTCGCCAGCCGTACTTCAGATTATATTGCTTTGGAAATGGTGGTGATTGAAGATTGTTGTTACTGTTGCCTGTCAACTTAAGAAGTAGCTCATCAAGGCCATACTCTGTGACCTATACATGATACTCCCCCCTTGCTTTATTTCCAGTTACTTCTCCACCCAAAAGACTGTTCATCATATTGATATCAGGTCTTTAGCCCGTTAGTAAAAACCACGCGATCATCGCCCGGAAGCATATTTTCGGGTGATCTTCGGCGCAATTTTGTGTCACAACTAGTGTCCGAGTCAAAACCCACATTTCTTTTGGTGAACAAAGAAAGTAGCCACACCGCCACCGTTGGATTCATAACAAGGGTTTATATCTTCTGTACTTCACATAAACCAGTAAATATACAGAAACCTCTCTGAGATAACACATCTCTATCACCTACCTCCCTCCCATAGCCAATGGCTCCCTTTCTTACAAACGGCCAAAACACGTTTGCCGAGACAAGGCCGATCGAAGTCTCAGTGAATACAGCCGAGGAAATTGCGAGCACTGCTCAATTCAACCACTCGGATCAAGTTAAGGATCATGCTATTGATACAGAATTCCTTATTGTTGGCGCGGGGCCTGCGGGTGCAGCCTTAGCTTGCTTTCTTGGCTCTCATGGTATGTATCTGGCTCGAGGAGACTTTGGATTTAGCAACTAAAAAGTCAAGGGCTCAAGGGTATCATGATCAGCAGTGCGCCAGGGACAGCCAATGCCCCTCGTGCACACATCACCAACATGGCAGCACTTGGTCAGTCACACATATGTCTACAGTTGCAGCTGAAATACTAACAGACCTATTCAGAATGTCTCCGAGACATTGGTCTATATGAGGAGCTCCAAAAATTGGGATCCAAGGGTGAAGACCATATGCAGCACACCAGATGGTGCCACAGTATGGCAGGTGAAGAATACGCCAGAATTCATTCGTGGGGTAATGACCCGAGACGAAAGGTGGGATCAATGACTCTTCCCACTTGTTGCGTTCTTTTTTAGGAGATGGGCCTGAGGTGTTTTTGGAATAAGTCAACTAACGGAGTACAAAGGGTGACTATGAACTGGCTAGTCCATGTGAGCCTTTTGACCTACCGCAGACAGCTCTGGAACCGGTTCTAGTTCGTCATGCTGCTTTGAAAGGTTTCAAATGTCGTTTCCATACGACACTTGCTTCGTTCGTCAAAGAAGAGAAGACTGGCTTGATTATAGCAACCATTCGCGATGAAATCTCAAACCACGAATACCATATCCGTACCAAGTATCTGTTGGGCGCCGATGGTGCTCGCAGCCAAGTGGTGAAGCAACTGAATTTGCCTCTTGCAGTTCTTCCAGGGCAAGGTATCGCAATTAACGTGCTTGTTAAGGCAGACCTCTCCCATCTTGTCAAGAATCGAACCGGCAATCTCCATTGGGTGATGCAGCCAGATCGCGAGCACCCTAACTTCAGCTGGATGGGGATCGTTCGCATGGTAAAGCCGTGGAATGAATGGATGTTCATATTATTCCCAGATCGCAGCTATGATCGTTCTCAAGGCAAGCCCTCTATGGAGGAGTATCGAAAGAGGGTGCAAGAGTTCATTGGTGATGACACACCGGCTGAAATACTTGATGTATCTTCCTGGTATATCAATGAGACTGTCGCGGAGAAGTACTCAGAAGGTAATATGTGAGTTGTCTCCCCGGCTAATATGATGAGTGAATCATCTCTAATGATATATTCTGCTTGCAGCTTCTGTCTCGGCGACGCCGTACACCGTCACCCCCCATTTAACGGTCTTGGCTCAAACACATGCATTCAAGATGCCTTTAACTTGGCCTGGAAGCTTGCGTACGTCTCCAAGGGCTTCGCGTCCCCATCGCTTCTATCCACTTATTCTATTGAGAGACAGCCTGTTGGTCATTCGGTCATCACCCGAGCGAACCAGGCATACCGCGACCATTTGCACGTATGGGATGCACTTGGCATGTTGCCGACGGATGTTTCTGAACGGAAGCAGATATTGGAGGAGTTGAAGAGTGCAACTCCACAAGGATCAGACCGTCGTCGTGCCTTGCGTGAGGCAGTCAAACATACCTCTCAAGAGTTCCACGGGCTGGGAGTTGAAATGAACCAACACTACGAAGGCATGGGAATATATACCGCTGACGAAGCGCATCCATATGAGCGACTTGGACGGGCGGTCAAGGATAAGGTACTATATCATGAACCAAGTACATATCCTGGCTCTCGTTTACCGCATGTTTGGCTCAATAAGGCAACCCCGGAGGAGCCTGTCTCGACAATTGATCTTGCTGGTCATGGCTCATTTATACTTTTGACTGGAATTGGAGGTGGGGCGTGGAAGGAAGCGGCTGGGACTGTAGCCGAGAAGCTCAAGATTCCAATTCAGGCGTGGTCGATTGGGTTCAGGCAAGACTGGGAGGATGTGTACTTTGAGTGGGAAAATTTCCGAGGTGTGGAAGAATCAGGGGCCGTGTTGGTGCGACCGGATCGATTTGTTGCATGGAGAGCATCAGAAGCTTTGCAGGACAGTGAAGCCTGTCACCGAAAGCTTCTCAAGGTGATGAGATCCATTCTTGGATTTGAAGATCTGTAGCGATGTACAACATATCCTTCTTCTGTCCTGACTGTTCCAAGGTTATGTCTCCTTCACCGACTTCCCCGTGACAAGCTCTTTGAATCTGCGGTGTAGGCTCCTTCCTTTTTGGTAAAAGTAGTGGAACCAGTGTATTGTATGAAATGTGAAATATTTCAACAAATTACGACTTTAAGGTATACAGCAAGTGTATCATTGTGTAATATACCACCATAGCCGATCTCCCAGTTCCCTAATTCCCCACAACTTACATAAAGTGTGGGGTTCGGTCCATCTTCGGTGTGTTTCCAGTTCCTTAAAATCGTCAAGGAGTGACCTGTCTACTTAGTACTTATCTCGAAGGACCTCAAAGTACTGGACTTCTGTCAAATTTCGAAGTTCTATCTTAACCCGATGATCTAGCTGAATCCAAACAGAGCCTACGAATACCCTTTCAAGAATGCCAAGATCCGGTTTGGCTTGTCATTCATGTCGTAAGTAAGTGCACTCATTTCTCAAAAGAAGTAAAGGAGAACCCCTTTCTAACCAAAAATATCCATTGCTAGACGGAAGGTAAAATGGTACGTGGAGGTTGGATTAGGAATTCTCATCTACTTCCAAGGTCGTAGACTAACGTCTCGTTAGTGACCAGGCAATACCTCATTGTGCGGTTTGTGTACAAACAGGCCAAACATGCAATTATCCGCTTCAGCCGATGAAGCCAGGGCCTAAAATTGGTAAGGGGTGGCCCTGTCTGATTACAGGCAAAAACAGCAGGTGGGATTATGTGTTGACAAGATTTAGGATCTCTCCAAAAGCGAAGAGTATGTCGTCGTTTGGACGACACAGCTCAAAGCCGGCATCTCACCTCCCAGTCGAGCCCACCGAGTAATCTTAACCGACGTTCGGACTATGGTGACCTCGATACTCCCGCTCATTATACGGAGACAATGCACGGAACAATGACAAATGGACGGGATCAATCGCAAACTTCACAGCTCAATATGCACGATCTTTCTTACATACTTCACCCATCTCATGAATCTACAACTTCCAGCCACGATCAAAATGAGAGCCCAGGTTTTGATGATGGGGCGCAGGGTGAGATTTGCCGTCAAGCTTGCACAGAACTAGGCGTGTCACAAACTACGATGAATCAGATGTAAGAACCCCGGAAACCCCGAAATTCCATGCAAGCAGAACTTAAAACAAACTGGTTATACCGACAGGATTCGAGTCTTTTTTGACAACATGGTCGCCATTAATATTCTTCATGAACCCTCATTTGCAGAAAAGCTATCAAAGATTTCTTCTCTGTGTCAACTGAGTTCCATTCTCGCTGCCATAGCTGGGTATGCTACGCGTTTTCTTCCCCCAACAACAAATATCTCACCTCTTGATGATTTTCGACCCACGGGAAAAGGCTATCAGCAGCCTGAGTATTTTGTTGGCCGTGCCTTCGATTACGTGAATCAGTGTCTTGTGGAGTGTGATGATGATATGCCATCTCTTTGCATTCTCCAGGCTCTCATTATTGCAACGCATTGTCAACTGACTCGGGGGGTTCGAGGAAAGGCATGGAGGTCTCTGGGGCTGTGTGTTCGTTTGGCATACGAAATGAACTTGCATCAACTTGATTCTAGAATGGTTGGGAAACCAGAAGATACCCAACAGTGGCAAGCGGATGAAGAAAAGCGCCGTGCCTTTTGGGCAATTTGGGAAATGGATGTTTTCGCAAGTACAATTCGTCAGACACCAACCGCCATTGACTGGGGACACATGGAGATCTTACTACCTGTTGATAACGCCGATTGGTTCCAGGGCCGTCCCACTCCAAGCTGCTTCATGGAAACCGACCCAAACCAGCGTTGGAAGGCGCTCCAGGATAGTTGCAACCAGTCCCCCAAAGCATGGTTTCTGGTAATCAACTCTTTCATGAAAGCAGCCCAAAGCATTTCCGATCCCCAACGGCTATCCGCTAGAGACAATCCGGGTCACTACCAGCCGAGTCACCGCACCCCAGGACGTGTTGAGGAGGGCTGCCAAAAATTGGAGAAACTGGGGAACGCAGTACGTTGCTTTAGTCTGGCTTTACCAAGCAACCTGCGTTATCACGATCAGTATTTGGCCTTTGGTGCGCTAGTGGAAGGGCAACTGGAGTCTCAACGACAGCAACATTCCTCTTTATACAATATCTTCGTCATGACGCAGCTTGTTTGGTTGATGATCCACAGATATGATGCATTCAGGCCTCAACCCCGTCAGGTCGAAACCAATTACTTTCAGCGCCCTGCAGACGTGGCCGGAGGGGCTACATTCAGCCCAAATGATACCGAATGTACTGCACAGAAACAATGTTATGACGCAGCTGATCGAATCTTAAGAATCGCGAGTCAAAGCTGCGAAGACCATATCCAGCACATCAATCCGTTCCTTTCCAGCACATTCTGGCTTGCCTCGGCCGTGCAGCTGGTTCGCAAACACTTTGCTCGAGCACCTGCCAATCGAAGCTTGATCAAATCACGGTTCGACGTTCTATACCTGACCTACAGGCGGTGCGTTGACTTTTGGGGCACTCAAACCGCTATGCAGCGGAATCTGGAATCACTTGAAGAGCAACTAGAAGCTAGAAAAAGAAAGATGGATACCCTTGACAGCCGATCTTCGTCGGATCATCAGACTAGCCGCATCGAGCGCCATACGAAAAAGAGACAAACACACCACAACCAAACACATACCACAAAGCATGACAATCTCACCAACTTTTCAACTACGAGGGTGCCCGAAAACAAGCCTACTCAATATATACCGGAAATACCAGCCACTCCTGTCGATCTCTCACATTTTCCCGATGGTGGACTGAAAATTACAGCCCAGAAGTTTGCAAAACAGCACTCGGTTGCAGTAGATAATAGGGCGATGTTGGGCATGATGCCTCCTCCACAACCCGATGGGAGCCAGACTACTAGGACTTGCACAATGCCTAAAAACCGTAATTTCTTGGATTTGACCAATTTGGGGGACTTCCAGAATGACCAAATTCTTGAATGGCGCGACTTTGATCTTTCTGGTGGCATACAGGATTTGCTTGCTGAGTGGACCACATACTAGTCTCATTTTCTTGCTATTTAAATTATTATTTCCTAAACAGTATCCTTGTCAATCTTTGGATTCTGTAAAGTGAAATAATGGGGTTGTAAGTCGAGAGTGTAATATATTTACATATACAAGAAGAGCCGTCCGCGCTCGCGGCATTGTGATGTCCTTTGAGTTATTCTTTTTAGTTGGTCTCTTTGAATATCTTTTGAGGTGCATGTGAAGGCAGTGAGAAAACCATACTATGTGTAAGAGAATTTTCTATGTATAACCTGTGACTCCTGGCTGGTTTCACTTGACATGTGTGATGCCGCCCGAAACACAGCATTGGCCTTGACAACCCATACCGTACTATAGACTGGCCCTTCGACGGCACATGTGGCAAATTTGGCAACATGCGGAATATTATGCCGGCTGCAATTTCAATCAAATCTGCTATCGCATGCAGCAATGGGTTGAAGGGACTTCAGAGGGAGGGGAAAGATCCCATGCCTCCCCTAGACGAAACTGAATGCATGCAAGGATTCAATACCAATGGGTGTATTGATAGCCAGCCTGGATTTCGACGCATTTGGAACCATAAAGAAAAAGCAAAAATTATCCTTTTCCTTTTTTCAAGAAACCCACCGAAGAGAGGCCGCGCGGGATGATTTCATGCAAGTTCGTGACCCCAACTTTAATATAAATGCACCTGGGAAATTAATTAAAACTGCCTTATTTAGTGATATTCATACACTTTGAAGGGTTTTAGAGAGTAGACACTGCTTGTTGGAATATACTCACTAAATTTCCATTGTCGAGCACATTCCAAAATGACAGGCTCAAACAATACACCTCGAATCAACCTCGTTCGCATCGCACATGTGTTCTACACCCACAAAGACATCAACAAAGCCCATGAATTCTTACTAGACTTTGGCTTCCAGGAAGTCAAACATGTGGGCAAGGACATCTATTATCGTGGCACTAGTTCCCAGCCGTTTGTGTACTGTGCGCGACAAGGCGAAGAAGATGTGTTCGGGGGCGCAGCTTTCGTCGTGGAATCCGAAGCTGACCTTGTCGCTGCGCAGCAACTACCTGGAGCTACAGAGATATTCGACTTGAGTGACGCACCTGGCGGTGGTCGCTGTGTCACCTTCCATGATCCTGTCGATGCTTTCCCTTTCCACCTTGTTTACGGGCAAGCAACCTATGCTGATGAAAAAGCGCTTCCCCAGCTCGATTTCAATTTCGTGAGTTATTCTGATATTTTGAACGCACCTACACTTTGTCTATTTGATATTGTTCTGACTGTCTCAGCCGACGGAGAAACACCGGCTAGGTAATAAGATGCAGCGATTCCAAAAGGGTAAGTGGATGAAGCAACTCTGAAAACTTATTCCTCATTGCTAAGATATTTGACAAAAAAAAAAAGGTCCTGCCCCAGTGCACAAATTAGGTCATTTTGGAATGTGTGTCAGTGATTTCACCAAGGCGTTTGATTTCTATACCACCCGATTCAACTTCAAGCCAAGTGATGTAAGTACTCCTGTTACGCTCAGTTTGTATACGCATTGACTGACTATTTTTCTCAAAACTAAAGTTGGTCCATGACTCCACCGGAAGAAATATAACCACATTCCTCCATCTAGATCGAGGTTCTGAACTGGTCGACCACCATTGCTTTTTCTTCTTTGAAGGTCCCAAGCCGCACGTACACCACTCCTCGTTTGAAACGCATGATTTCGACACGCAGGTTCTGGGTCATGATTGGCTGCGCAGCAAGGGGTATGAAAACTGTTGGGGTGTAGGACGTCATATCATGGGAAGTCAGATCTTTGATTATTGGTATGTTTTATTTTACAACATAGGTTCTTAGGAGTAACCTCCTGACTTTTAGGTAAAAACTTGTAGGTTCGACCCCTCTCGCTTTATTATCGAACATTATGTTGATGGTGATTTGGTTGATGACCAACACCCTATCAATCGATCCCTTGCCTCACCCGACAGTTTGCATGTTTGGGGTAGGTCTTTCAGCGTCACACGCTAATGTCTTACGGAGACTAATTTGATGCTAGGCCCAGATCTTCCGCCCACCTTCCTGCAGTAATTTGGAAGACATACTTCTTTCGTTATGGGACTGATGGTGCTGTTGCATACGGTTGTATTACGGACATTTCCGCAGCCTTCTCATGTTATACAGGTAGTGCATGACATGCTTTACTCAATGCTTCTGATGGCCGACTTTAGTCCGTGTATCCCTTTAAATCAAAGAAGCACCTCCAAGGGACTCGATTCGTAAAAACTACGTCATGATCCAAGAGATTAAGAATGAATAAAAGTCCTCAATACGTACCTTAGGTATCGAAGAATGGGTGTCGCACAGTAAAGTTCCTGGTACCCGGCCCATCCCGACCCAAACAATGCAGGAAGCTTGGACGACGGAGTGAAGTTGGGCCGAGAAACACACCGAAGATCGTCCGTGTGAAGCTTTGATTTGTATTGGCCCAGGCAGTTGGAATCACTCGCCCTACTGCAAAAATTCCTGTCAATTTAGTAACCCCAATTCCCTTTCAAGGGTGGTTGGTTTATTTCTAGCTAGATAACCGTCTAGTTCTTTCGCCTTGTATGACCATGTGAGTATACCTGACCTCATATCATCTCTGTAAAAGTTGAAAACATAGACTTCATTCGAATATGCATTGTATGCGGTCAATTATCCCGGAAGGATAGACCGAAGTTGTCCCATATCCAGTTGTGGTGATCTTATACTAATTTGTCTTCTTTGGGTCTCGTCTACCTCGGATTACAAAAAGCCATAAAACTTCCGGCTTAACTTTTCGTAATACTATCCCAATTTAATTCATTGATCATTTATCATCTTTTCTCGGACCAAACCCCTGTCTCAAGATGTCTCCCAATTGGTCAAATCTTGTCAGGTTTATAAGCGAAGAGGATGGGCAGATTCATCTTGGCGAAGTTGATACTAATAAGTATCTGGACATTGGACTCGCAGTTTTGAATGAGGAAAGAATTGCTGTCAAACTGGTCAAGGGCTCAATCTTCGATGGCGTGGTGACTGAGACCGTTGTGCACGTCGCACGAGTATGTGCCCTAGATACTTCACCCCCCATGTCTCGTATGTGAACTAACCGTTGCGTCTGAAAATAGCTTTTGGCACCCATTGGGGTCGAAGAAGTGCCCATCATCCGATGCATGGGGCTCAACTACCGCGACCATGCCAAAGAGGCGAATATGCCAATCCCTGATGTGCCGGTCCTCTTCATCAAACCCCGTACAGCACTCAATGGACCCTATCCGGCCAAGATAAACGTTCCGAAGATCGCACAGGATGGCTCCAGTGACTACGAGGCAGAGCTTTCAATCATTCTATCCAAGTCTGGCCGAGACATACCCGAGTCGGAGGCAATGGATTATGTTTTGGGATACACCTGCAGCAACGATGTCAGTGCTCGGACGCAGCAATTTAAGAATAGTCAGTGGTGCTTCTCGAAAGGTAAGAGATGATAGATGCTTCTGTTCTTAACAACCTAACAAGTTCTGAATTCCGAACCACAACCTGACTTTTGATATGGTGGAACAGGTCTTGATGGATCCTGCCCGGTAGGCCCAGTTCTAGTGTCTCCTTCTACGATCAAGAACCCGCATAATCTTCGGATTAAAGCAATTCACAATGGAAATGTGGTACAGGATTCAAACACCAGGTGAGCTTTATTCAAATGGGCGACTAGTGCGACCTAGTCAGGCTTCCAATGTAACTAACGTACCGGCTTGAAGGGAAATGATTTTCGATATTGCAAAGACAATCGCATTCCTCTCCCAGGGCACTACACTGGAAAAAGGCACCATTATCATGACAGGAACGGGTCCTGGTATTGGTGCTATGCGCAACCCAAAGGTTGTTTTGAATGATGGTGATGATATCAGAGTGGAAATCGAGAAGATTGGAACTTTGATCAACAAGATTCACTATGAGTAAGAGTTTCATATCACAAGAAGGAACCGATATCAGCTATGTGGTAGTCACTGCCTTCGAAATCAGGGTGGAAGAACTTTTGTAGATTCCTCTCTGTCAACGTGTACCTGTGATCATTTTCTCCATCGATAGTCATTGTTGTGGGTTTGGAACTCGAGTCGTGAATGACTCTTCAAAAATATTCCATTTCCGTTATATAAAAAAATACAAATTACGGGTTAGTAACTGGTGATATTTGAGTGAATGCGTTGAAATGCCCTTAAGGTTCGATATCAAAGAGGCTAGATATGTGCCGAAGGTTTACAACCGTCATGGCGCTATGTGCGGATAAAGCGGAGATGTATGCGATATGCGGTACGCCCAGTGTAGTAGACAGACAACATTTAGACTCAGCCGAACTTCCATGTGAAACTCTGTATTCTCTTCCCTCCACTAAAGTCGCACCAAGGTTTCACAAGGGCCGGGCTGATCCTTTCGGTGTATCGTTCCACAACTTGCACACATTGGTGTGTTGGTACTACCTTGAAGGGAGGTTTTAACTTATGATATTCGGATATGACGGCACACAAAATGCAATAATTTGATTATGTCTGGTGGCCCTAACCCTTTTTGTTGACCCTGGAGCCGGATAACCAGCTCATATCCGATATCCGATACGAAGCGATAATCGATGACAGTATGGAGTGGATTATATTCGAGTTTGTATATTTCAGACAGCCATAGTATGAATCAATGTGTTGAAAAGGTGTTGAGGGGTGTGGCTGCCCAAGGCCTACTACTTCCCCGGTTGTCAGAACCTGCCTGCTACATAGAAGACCTTCTTTCTCTATTCGGTAGTAATCTATCAAAGAGTTTCCCTCCCATAAGCGTCTCTGTCAACAATAAAAAGAAAAAGACTTTGAACAGTAAAGATATTGCGTTATTATGTCTTGTATAAAGCCGACAGTTGTTATCCCCGTCTCATATGAGAGGGTGGATTTACCAAATATAAAACTTTCTCACTACCCACTCGGAGCAGAAACAGTGACCCCTGTCATCGTTCTCACCCTGAACCGACCCGATAAATACAATGCGTTCACCCCGGCAATGGCGCAAGCTCTAGAGCAACTCTTCAAACTATTTCATCATGATAGTCGTGTGAGGGTCGTTGTCATGACTGGAGCAGGAAAGATGTTCTGTGCAGGGTCGGATTTGGAAGTTGGATTTGGCAAAGACAAGGATGACAATGCCAGTTACAGGGACATGTACGTTTTTTTAAAGGCTCAAGGCTTACATTACAATCCGAGACTCACGGGATGTGCACAGTGGGGGTCGAGTGTCCATCGCCATACATCGATGCCAAAAGCCGACCATTGTGGCTCTTCAAGGATCAGCAGTTGGAGTAGGCATGACTATGACCCTCCCAGCCGCTATACGGTGATTTACCCTTCAAGATCATTTCCTTGTTGCCCACATATAATGCTAATCACTTGTAAGCTAGCATTTGTTATGAAAAAGGCAAATACGGATTCGTATTTACTCGTCGAGGGCTTACTTTAGAATCCTGCTCATCTTTCTTTCTTCCCCGTCTTATTGGTTTCTCTCGTGCCATCTTTTTGACAACCACTGGCGGAGTCTATCCACCCGAATCAAGATATTTTGGCGATCTCTTCGCCGAAGTTCTTTCGGATGCAGAGTGTGTTCTTCCAAGAGCGTTAGAATTGGCCACGGAAATGGCGGAGAATGTCAGCCCGACAGCATCCGCATTGAGTCGAGCTTTGCTCTGGCAGGGACCCCAATCACCGGAGGAGGCTCATTTGCTTGAGTCTCGGGTTTTTCATGCCATGATCACATCAAGGTAAACGGGTCATTATTTCTATTGAGGCTAGGCTGACACACTTCCATAGCGATCATCAGGAGGGAGTACAGGCTTTCTTTGAGAAACGAAAGCCAAATTTTCAAGCAAGAGTTAGTGGGGATCTTTCGGTAAATTATCCCTGGTGGTTTGAGACCAACATTGAATGCCCGCCAAACAATGTATATGAGTCCTCGAAGCTTTAGGGCACCGGTAATACACTCTCGGGAGGGTTTCTAATATTAAATAAACGCAAAGGAATACTAGTCATTTCATTATAAAGTGGTATGGGATGTCCACAAGATGAATTTATGTTGTTGTACGGTATGAGAGCAAACCGTGCATGTAGTGGGAATGTCGTGAATTTTATATTTCGAGTCAGAATGGGAAAAAAACAGACCTAGGTATGAATAAGTACAGATGAGGTCGGATTGTTGAAATCACAGTCTAGGCACATAGTGAGAAAACCCGAAGATATCAAAATTTAGACCTTTTTGGCGGAGCGCCGATATGGCTTTCCCATTGCTCATCAATTGCAACCCGCTCATCAAGCGGAACTTGATCCCAAGCCTTTTGAAACTTGGATTTTCGCGATTTCCAGCGGAACATTTCGGAGCCGATAAAGTCGGCACTGGCTTGTGCACTTTCATCAACGAGCTCCATTGGGATCAAATGACCGCAAGGAAGAACAACTTCTCGCACACGACCACGAGACGCACCACCACTACCTCCCACCCCTGTCCCGGTTGTTCGTAATTTCTCTTGGCGAGCAGCCGGATATGAATGGGGTGAGGTTTCACCAAACAGATAAAGAACACTAGGCTTTAGCTCCGGCAAGCGGCGAAATATCTGTGGGGGTTCGGGGCGATAAAAAGGCAGGTCGTCAATGTCGTCTAGATGCATGTCCTCGAATGGGTTCCCACGGGGCAGACCAGTTCGCTTGTCGATATACGACGTTCGCGAAAAGGTAAAAACCTCTTGTGCTTTGGATGTAGCCAATGTAACAGAAGGGTCTCTCGTGTTGCTTGAGTTGGGATGTAGCTTTGTGGGAAGATCCCGGAGTCCGAACTCGATCCATTTCTCCAACACACGCGGATCCCATGCCTGATAGAAGGGACTTGATTGGAATTTTTCCGCTGCTTGTTTGCGAGAAGGCCAAAGGTCACGCCTATATGTCGACAGTAGAACGTATTTGCGAGTGGCGTTCTCTCGCTGGATTACTGGATCAACGAGTATTAGACCCTCGAAAAGGGATGGGTGCATCAAGGAAAGATGGGCTCTAGGTCGTGTTAACTTGCAGGGATTTGGGGAACATCAAAAGGAACATACAGTTGCGTTCCGCCCATACTGTGTCCCACACCGACGACTGGCTGGGGGATCTTAAATTGGTTCAGCAGAACAAGCAAATCACGTCCATGATCATACCAGCTAGCTAGCTACATTCAGTATTTCTTCAATTGATTGTGTATTTCGCAAACTCACGATCATTTCCTAAGATTGACTCGTTCAGAATTCCACTCTGGCCCTGTTGAGCAACGTCTGCAATCCAAATGGCTCGAATACGTTGGTTCTGGCTCCGCAGTTTCTCATATATATCATCCCAAAGGGGCTCGTATAGCTCCTTCATCCTATTTCAGCTAATATTCAACTAGGTCACAGTATGGAAGGAAGTGATACTTTGGGGAATCCACTGGCATGCATCCCAATAAGTGTAACATCCCCTTCTTGTGGGGAAGGATTATCGAGTGGAACATATTGCTTCACCGCGAGTCTAATGTCCTGTTCATGTCCGGCTGTAACGGCACCAAGGCGTTCTCGTATATTCTGACCGGAAATTGTGTGTTCGATCACTCGGAAGTTGGACATAGTTCTGATAGACGCGGGCAGGGGTCGATTGACTGGATGGGTTTTCTAGGACGAACGCAGCATAGCGAGGGATCAAAGTGATAAATTGGAAACACAATAACAGACAACGGGATGCACTTTATACTCGGTGGTCACAGTTAGCTAAATATTGCTAATATCATGAGGAAAATGAGCAAATCGATTTTGCCGAGGCTCTCGACAAGACTATAAGGTAAATGCTCCCGGGGCTAGGAAAATGTTCCCGGGGCTCCAACTTCCCCAATTGCTCCGATTGTCGCGATTTCCTCCAATTTTGCCGATTGGTCATTATTTCCCCCAATTGCGTTAAAGCAATAAGGAGAATTACTACCGAGGAAGAATGCTAGCTACCGTGGAGAGCTACATTTCGTTAGATGCCAAGGAACGCAGCTGCAGCAGGAACGGCGCGGATCTACAGATACAAGGTCCCTCGAAACAATTCTAGGATTTCAATTCAAAGCCATGCTTTCCTATTTGTGGACAATCATCTCCTCCGTATTGCTCTTTGGCAGAGTAGGAAAAAATTCACCATTCATATATGGTGAGCTCTCACACGAGATGAGATCTATAGTGATTAAAAAAAAGGCAAGAGGTGAGAACTAAAACAGAAGATGAAAGGCTTTGCGTGCCAGAAATCATCCTTTATATGTAAATGTTTGGTCCATAGCATTATATAACTCCAGGCCCGATCTAGAACCCATTCAGACTCTTCTGCGCCGTAATAACATCCCCTTTATCTACAAAGTCCGCCAGTACCACATTTGGCGCACGCCCATATAGCCCCGCGCATAGCGCCGCCTGGGCACCAATACTGCCAGGTCCCGTAGCAGAATTAGTCGTACCTACCTTATGGCGAGCTGGAATCTTTACGCCGAAAACATCGATGTCAAGGAAGTGATTGACAATTCCCATACGGCCTGTAGCGGCGGCGCCAGAGGGCCGGTCAATACTGCAGTTTGAGAAAGAGGAGTCTGTCACATCATAGGCTGTCTCGAAGTAGTAGGCAAACTCGTCTTGGATGAAGTTCACTTTTGTCGTGTCGGCACCATAGTCTAGAAATTGTTAGTCTCGAGGTATAGCCTATTTCTTTGTGGCTGGTGCTTATTACCTAGGAATACGACCAATCTCTTTCCGCTAGAGATCATATCACCCAATGTGGGCCAATCTGCAATTGATAGGGGATTTTTGGGAGGGACGTAGACATAGTCGGTAATCCCGCTGCCGGAGAATGTGTCTCCAAACTCGGTAATGGCTACCGAGTCTCCGTTTGTCAAGAGAATACTGACGACTTCGTTCGGGTTTGCATCCAGCCAACTTTTGACAGTCGACAAGTACGATTTGAGAGGTCCAGCATCTTCAAGCAAGCATGATGTATGGCACAGCTCTATGACGTCTCTATCAAGGAGCGAGTGATGTGTTTGCACTTGCAGGTACCGGATTCCCATGTCGAGTTGGGATTTTATATCGATATTTTGATTCTGCTGCGGTAGGGGTCCAACAAAGGCGGAGTCGTGGGAGCCTACAAATGTAATATTTGAGTAGGAACGGGTGCAGTACTCTGAGCGACCGTTGCAGGTTGTCGGCGCTAGGGTTGACATCAACGGAGTGGCCGAGGGTATAGATACCGAGGACTGAGATGCTCGCGGTACTGATGTTCCTGCCCCCGACACTGCGATTACAGGCCGGAGAAGTAGGAGAGCACTGATCACTGCACGTGTCAGTCCCTGGTGGAGTTGAGCCATCGTATTTTAAGTCGCTTTTGGCTATACTTGGCTTTGATCAAGAAGGCGCAAAGGGGCGCTGTTTCACCTTTTATGCTCCAAGACTTATTTCTTGTCCTCGCAGATATCTTAATAAATAGCTGCTGTCTCCAGTCACGCAGGAGCGACAGCTGCCCCCGCAAGAGTGAAATCATCTGCCCCCGCGAGGGTGACATGCTCATGCCAATTCCTACATTCCACATGTTGATCCACGACTAAATGAGAACCCTAGAGTAAAGAAAGCTGAAACTGATCATAATCTCGTTGACTGTTAGATATACTGCTGGTGGCATATATCCTAGTGATAGAACATGATCATCAATATCCCACTCCCCTCGTGACTGCAGCCACGCACCAATAGCAGACGTCCATCGATGGTCATCCCCAACTTTTTAGGTGTGCCCCACAAATTTTGATCTAGGGGAGTCTTCTCTGTAAGTGCAAGTAATTCAAGACAGTGGAGCTTTGGTGTCGCATTGGATATCGCTGGTACTGGCCTCCTGTGCGGGCAAGGGTCGGGTTAAGATTCGGCAGGACTGAAAAGCTTTTGTTAGAAGTGAACATGGATGGGCTGTTATCTGATAGTGCGACAAACTTTAATACTGCCACAGGATATCATGAAAAGGGCCCATCTTGTTCAGTTCCTAACCCTTCACGTTTTGATTTACTACTTAGAGTCAGGTTCTGGACATGGATGATCACTGCTTGAACGAGACGAGGCTCGGTGAGTAATTGATACATTGATGCAACCCAGATCTATAAGAATACTATCACGGTTGATAGTCATTAGCATAGGCTAGGGGGGGTTTATTGGTGCTGCGATGAGCGAATATCCATAACACACCCGTCCTGTCACATTCAAGATCACTAAGTTTATTCGTAGACCTCGAGATACCGTTCAGGTATTAAGTCTATCCCTTTTTTCTTTTTCTTCTTCTTCTTCTTTCTTTCGTACTAGGTCTCTTCCATCTTCACCGAAGGTACAAAGGGGTTGCTTACCCAGATCGGATTCAAGGCTATCAGGGTATGACAAAAGCTAAATAGCCCCATAGCCTTTCCCTTTATAGTCAAATGCGCAGTATCAAGCCGAATCATGCCTTGTTCCATTCATAGTCACATAGTCGTATGACGTATATTCTTTTTGGGCCCTTATATTGTATCACTGCATGGAAACCGATTGTTGAGAAGAAGTGATGGTGTGGAAAATCAAAGGTTAATGCATGAAAGCTAAAATGCAACAGCACATAATTAGAAACCAAACGCATATCTTCAAAGGTTATCTGGTTGTCAATGCTACGATATTAAGGGCCACAATCTCGGCGAACCAATAAATAATATCCTGTTTATCGATCTGGAGTAACATAAAAACCGGTCTGTCACTCACATGCAGATGCCTTGCATAAGAAGTGTAGTACCGATAACAGAGAGCCCTCCTCAAGTACATATGTGGCTATTTATTTCAAACAAATAGTCTAAATTTCGAGTCTTTGAAATCTATTTAAGTATTAGATTGACATCTCACATTATTTCACTGTTGTGCTTTATCATTGCAATTTGGCATAGCATCGAGTTTCGATTCGAATCCCGCAAGAATGTTCGAACCTTACAACCTTACTCTGTTAGACCATTTTGCGCCTCCAGGGCATTTCAGTATATCTCTCACGTTTAGTTTGGTTGGCAAGAACTGTGTGCAGGTCCTTCAGCGAATGGAGGATGCGGTGGATCGTTTGGTCTCCAAATTCCCCTTCTTGGCTGGGATGGTGGTACCATCTACCCAGCCAGATGGTAGAAGCAACGTACTTCAGGTACGGCCTGCCACTGCTACCGAGCTTGAAGAGTATCCTATTCTAGTCACTCAACATCATACAGAATCCACCGCTCTCGCCGTGGATGGAAAATTGAATCCTGCCTTGATACCGTTCTCAGTCGTCTATCCACCACGTAGACCTTCTCCTGTGCTACGGTGGAAGGCAAATGTGATTGGAGAACAGTTACACATCGTCTGGTGCTTTGATCATCAGGTAATAGATGGGTCGGGAATTTTGAAATTGACCGCTACTTTCACCGCGTTCTGTCATGATCTAAATGCCCCTGTACCATTCACGACTCCGCATGCGCAAGAAGAAACAAGACTGCATATCAAAGAGATTGCATCTACAGCCACACCACAGAATCTTCAATGGACGCCCTTTTCTACCCCAACAAGTGAAAACGAATTATCGACAGATTACAGTCGAGCGCCCATCAGTTACCCCCATGTACTCGATGGCCCAAAGATACAAATGCTGCACGATGCCTGCAATTCAGCTTTACGGTTTCTTCTTGAGAAATATAGTATGGATCTTCCTGAGATGTCCCTTTCACCGGGTCTGGTCGTCAGCGCACTGTTGGGCATATGTAGCAGTCGTGCCCGCTTGAGGGCTTTCCCCGATGACAAGGAGCTCTCATTCGAGATGTTCATTGTGGAAAATATTCGAAAGGCACTCAACTTACGTCGGGGATATATTGGCAATGCTATCTTAGGCACGAAAAGCACGTGCGATGGTGCTGCGCCTCCTCCGCCTGAAGCCCTGCGAGATATTCATGTGCCAGAGCCTCTCAGTCCCGTGGGGCCGGATGATATCTGGCGGATCTGCAAAGTTGCCCAGACTCTTCAAGAAGCATCCGAACACCTTAACAAACAGTATGCACAAGGCATAATCGCAACAATGTCCCATGAACGTGATTGGAGCTCACTCCTACCTGGGTGGGGGGTGAATTTCCTTGTGTCTAATATCAGGTCGGCAACGCCGTATGTGAACTTTGGGCCACTCGGAGACCTTCAGTTGCTTGACATCCATTTCGCTACACTTCCTGGATTTTGCTGGATAATGCCCAACCTTCCATCTGAAGTTGCATCGCCATATCCATGCTGGAGATTGCGATGGGTTTTGGAACGGGCGGCGATGGAGTGTTTATCGAGTGATCCCCTGTTCCAATGGGCTACAACTCCTAGTATAGCACCCAGTTACGCTAAAGTCTAAGCCAGATAACCTGCTATTTTTCGTTAGTTATATTAGTTAGATTTTCGGGTAGATATACGGCTAGATTTTGGGTTTTCGGTTTTCAATGAATATATGTACTCTTCTTGAGAAAGCTTTTATGCGTCTTTACGTACTCTTCATTGGCGCGAGACATGTGCATATATGTTTGTATGCTTAAGAGGTTACCAACTCGTTCATACCTCGTACCTGCTTTTCGCATGATTATAAAACAGAGAATCAAGACAAAAGATCATGGCAAGTCGTACTATTTATCGGTCCCGGGAAGCCGAAAATGCGTGATGCTTGTTCAAATACGTAAATAGTCGTCATAAAATAGGAGGGCACTTATTTGTAGCTTTTATATTTAGAAATTCACGATACTTCAATGTTCAAGGTATTTGGCAGAGCTTATGAAAATGTGCAATTGCCTCACTACTCAATTATTATTTGACAGTTTAAGTTAGAAAATTGAGAAAGAATAGCTTTAAATCAGGGACTATATGTAAATATTTTTGAAGTATTGTCGTTGTAGTTCTGAACGTGGAAGTGTACCTGGCAGCCACTTGTGGCTGGTGTGCGGCCCCTAAAACGGCCCCGACCCAGGCAACGGAGCTCTGAACTCTCATTCTCCACTGTGTTCGTACCCCTCGAGCTCGACACTCCACGCCTTCGATCTGTATTGTACTACCTTCATAACTCCCCTCCTATTCTCCGAAAGTCTCCGAAAGAATCTTCTTATCAATTACAAAATCGACCTCCCCCAACACGCCATCGCTGATTCGGCCTCGTTTCCAAGCTACACAACGAGGAGCAATGGTCATTCGGAGATCTCGCTCATGAGCTCGATGGCTGAGGGCAGTGAGGGTTGGTCGCGCGAAGACGAGCTTGACTTAGGCCAGGAAGACGATCCCAGACAACCCGACCATGGCGCCCTCGATCAAACATTACCTTCCCCGCAGGAACCAGCGGAAGAGCAATTGGATACGATAGACGATGCGGAGGACCACGATTCCGAGAAGACAGTGGAACAGAAGGACTTTAACTTCCCAGAAACGCCTCCACCTCGAAACGCGGACTGGACTGCGACAGGGAGTGTGGATGGAACAGGGTCAAACCCCGACGATTCCCCATCGCTACATGTCAGTGGTACAATTGGCGCATAACCTGGATAGCTAGCTGATTGATGACAGGGCTCTATTCCATCCTCCCTGAGTAGCAGTGCTCTTGCGCTCCGCGGATCTCCGCGAGTCAGCCCCAGCCCGGCCCGTCGCCCCTTTGACCTTCGCTTCCAGTCCCGATTATCTTCATCGCCGCAAAGTGTCTCAAGAGCCAGCTCGCCATTCCTAGCCCATCTTCACTCCCGGCAATCTTCAATCACCAGCCAGCTGTCCCCGACTCCAGAAACAGAATCCGAACCGCTCCAGGGGCCATGGGATGTGGTACGATGGACAAAGCTGCGGAAGATCACGGGGCAGGCGTTTTCAGAAATCGGGAAACGCAATTTCGGACGGCCAACTTGCCTTGCAGTCTCCACATCTATTGTAATAGGTACATCCAAGGGTATCATTCTCGTGTTCGACTATCAGCAAAGCCTGAAGACTATTATTGGAACGGGCACACCAGGTTTGTCAAAAGAATTCTACACACTCTGGCTCATTGTACTGATAATCACCTAGCTGTTGGATGCGGTGCTGTTACATCCCTAGCACTTTCCGCCGACCATTCTACCGTTGCAGGGGGGCATGACTCGGGCGACATCTTTACCTGGGAGATTTCGCGCTCAGCAAAGCCTTTCCTTCATATCCCGCCAATCCCGGCGAACCAAGTCGAGACTCGAATATCCGATGGCCATCTTTCAGGGTCCGCGATCATTCATATCGGGTTCCTCGGCACTAGACGAACCGCGCTGGTTTCGGCTGACACACGGGGCATGTCGTTCTCACACCTGGCAACAAGAGGAATGGGGGCAGTGGGACGAACAGTCAGGACGACTCGAATCCTAGGTCGATACCCCCAGGCAACAGCAGAGATCAAGCGGCGGAAGCCCAGCTCTGTCCTAGCTTTCTCTCCTCTGCCACTCGGCAACGTAGAGCAATCCACTGATTCTTTAGGCCTTGTTGCTATGCTGACGCCCTATCTTCTCGTTATTGTGTCCACCACACCAGTGGCACAAACCCAGCACAAAGCACCGAGACCCAAAGAAGTTCCTGCTCACAGTGCCATGACTGGTGCTTTAGCATGGTTTCCAGCCATTCGGCTGAAGGGCAAAGACACCCAAGCTTCAAACACAAAGCTTGTCTACTGCTGGTCAAATGTGCTGACCGTGCTTGAAGTCTCGGAGGCCGATTCGAACGAACCTGCAGACAAAGACAAGCCTCCCAGCCTTGTTTTCAGAGCGCGCAGCAGATGGAGAGCAGATGAAGCCATTGTGGCTGTTCAGTGGCTTAGTCGTTCGGTACTCGCGGTGTTTACAATAACGCAGCGGCTGTTGATCATCGAGGATTATTCCATGCATGTGACTGACTCGGTCGATCTAGCCAACAGACACATATATCATACCGACCTGTTCTCCTCGCAGCTTCATTCGCTAGTTGAACAGCTTGACGAAGACGATGAGTCGATGCACGGAGTAGTAGCAGATGCATTCCACATGAGTTTCCGTTCTTATAAAGGGCGCCTTTTCTTGCTTGGTTATAACGAAGCCTTGGTAGGCAATCTCTCAAATTGGGCCGATCGCTTGCTGGCGCTGATGGAGGCTGGTGACTTCATTGGGGCCATTCGACTAGCGACATCCTACTATACAGGAGAGTCGGAAAAGCTGACGGTTGGGCTTCCGGAAGAAGATGCTTTGAGACAGCCCATTGTGCAAGAAAGGCTTTTGGAAATGATCTCCGCATCACTCAAGTATGCTTTTGGTCGAAATTCCGAAGCAAACAACGGTCGACTTGGGAACCAGCAGCTGGAGGAGCTAGCAGACGTTTCTATCGCCGCTTGTATTTACATGGCTGATGAAGAGTTCCTCTGGGAGGAAGTCTTCAACTGGTATGAGGAGCAAGATTCGGCAGGTATTTTCCTGGATGCCCTCGAGCCACGCATCGTTGATGGAACTCTGCGATCGCTACCTCCGACCGCAGTTAAGGCCTTAATCAACCATTTCATTGGAACTCACTCGACCGGCCGCTTGGAGGAGATCATATGTCTTCTTGATACTACCACAATGGACATCGATCAAGTCACAACGCTGTGTAAGCAGCACAATCTTTACGATGCCTTTATATATGTATGGAACCGCTGTTTGATGGATTATGTGGGGCCACTGGAAGAGCTACTACAGCTTATTCCATCACAAACTGAGCCCTTGGTCAACGGTGACTACGTGATTGAAATGAGACGGCAGAACAATGCGATGAAAATGTTCCCCTATTTGTCATTTATCTTGACGGGTCGCATCTATCCCACCGGAGACGACATGGATGAAACTGAAGCCACACGAGCCAAAACAGATTTGTACCAATTCCTCTTCTCAGGCCGTGGGTCTGATATGGTACCTGGAGATACCAACGGGGCAGACTCCTTCTCTCAACTTCGAGCTATGCTCAAATTCGATGCTTCCAGCTTCATGAGCATGCTCAACGAGGCATTCGAGGACAGCTTCCTCAATGAACCCGAGAGCGAGGGTGTCTCTGCATCGGGCATGTTGATCAATCGACAGTACCTCATCAGCATTTTGCTGCAAGTCATGACCACCAATTTTTTCACACCTCTTGATACTATCTACCTGGATATGTTTGTTGCGCGCAATCTTCCCAAATACCCCCAGTATATTCTCCTTTCTGGAACCACCCTCCACCAGGTCCTGGTCCGTGTATGCCAATATCCCGAGCAGGAAATGGCAGACGATTGCGAATTGAGCGCAGAGTATCTGCTGTCGTTTTACCACCCACCGGACATCCAGAGCATGATTCCTCTATTTAAAGAAGCACGCTTCTTCCGGATTCTCAAGTCGACCTACCGTTTAGAGAGGCAATATCCCCTGTTAGTTATGACTTACCTGGAGGATCCGAATGACCGCGACGCTATCTTCACCTGCCTGCATGACTGCCTCCGTCCAGGCTCTGGGCTTGGCAAGAAACAGAGACGCGATATAGTTGATGTAGTCAAGGAGCATGCCCGAGAGATCGCTGCAATTGACGTGACGCAAGCCGCACAGACGATGCAAGACTTGGCCCCTGAAACACACTCGACGTTTTTGCGGATTCTAGAAGATGACCCCCAGAAACAGTATCAGTACTTGCTGGTCCTGGTCGAGCCGCAGGCTCAAACTGCAGACACTCAATCTTTGCCCAGTATTGAGAACTGGATGATCGAGCGGTATGTGCAGCTCTTGTGCAAATACAACCCCACCCATGTCGCGGAGTTCGTCGACGGACTGCGAGTTGGTGACATCCACCTCGACGAACTGCTCCCGTACATTGAGGAAAGCGGAGCCATCGATGCCGCCGTTATCCTCCTCGCCCGACAGGGTCAAGTCCGCGAGGCCCTTGACCGTCTTGTCGTACACCTGAGCACCCTCGAATCCGGTTTGGTGGGCATCCTCCAGAGCGTGCGCGAGAGTCCCGATTCAGCGACTACCGCCGAGGCAATCGACGACCTGATCGAGTCTCTGAACAAGTATACCGGTGTCGGAACTTGGCTCTGCCAGGGCCAAAGTAAGACAGCCAAGCAGTCGCGTACAGGCAGCGCCAACGGTAAACGCAACGCGCCAACTCTCGACCAGCCTCTAGCCTTCGACGAACTTCTCTGGCTTGACCACATCGAAGCCGTGGTCCGCATCGCAAGCAACGTCTTCGCCTTCATCCAAGGAAACAACACCCAAATAACCCTCCCCGCCCAACCAACAACATCCCTCGCCGGCGAAAGCGGGCGCCTAACAATCTCCTTCCGCACCCTTGTCCAGCAAGTCTTCACGGCCCTCCTAGCAAGCACAGTAAAAAGCAGCCCAGCCACAACCGAAAGAACAGACATGTCCTTCCTACGCATCCTGCGCGCATTCCTCACCCGCGCCGCAACCTGGTCCCCCTCCTTACTCGAGCTGCGCGCCGTGCTAGCCTCCATCTTCTCTGCCTACTCCTACGAGAAATCCCTGCTGACCCTCGCAAATGGCATGCTGGACCGCGACCTCTTCGTTCACGTCGACGAAGTATCCCGTCTACGCCAACACGGCTGGCGACCCCGTGGCCACGTGTGTGAGATCTGCCGCCGCCGCATCTGGGGCCCCAGCGTTGGTGACGCGCATTGGTCCGCATGGGAAGCGCGACGCGCCGATGCCTATGCCCGCCGCATCGCGAGACGTGATGAGGATAGCTATAACCCGTCTGAGCGCGGGAAGGGCAAGGCTGCTGATGTCGGAGTCGGTCATCCGTCGCGACTAGATGCGGGCGGTGCCCATGCGCATGCGCATGCCCACGTTCACCACGAGCATGGCGCTCGTGGCGGTGGTATGTCCGATGCCAACGCTGGCCATGGCGACGATCATGACCACGACCACGATGAGGCTGGAGTTGGATCCAGCACTGCGGCTACAGTCGCAGACAGCGCCCCAGAACCTGTCGTCGTTTTCGCCTGTCGTCATCTCTACCACCGACGCTGCGTGCTGGGCGCCGTCAGCGCGGGGGCCCGACCCGCTGAAACCGCGTTCCGGCGTGACCATTTGGCCGACTGGTCAGGGGCCGAGCTGTTCTGCCCGCTCTGTACATAGTTTCCAGTCGACAGCGGGGATGATGATTTCCTTTGTGTCTAGGGATATTCTTTTGTTACTTTTTTTTCTATCTCTTTGCTTTTTCCTACTTAGGTGCCGTTCGGGGGATATCCCAGATAAGACACACGATCGCCTTGCATATAGCCATTCTCCCTTCTTTTTTAGCCCTTCTTTTTTAGCCCTTCTTTTTTAGCCCTTCTTTTTGACTCTCAACTACTTTAATGTAATGTGATATTAAATCCAGGCCTATCCCTGTTATAGTACATCTTTAGTAATTCCGTCTGTCTTCCGTGGGAACAGGTGATGTGTATCGACCGCTTCAGCTGCTCAGCTCATTCTCCAAGACATGCGCTTGGCACAACCTGTACTCCCAATGTGATTTGACTGGGGATTCGTACTCCGGATTATCATTCAGTCTCGTTCCAGGGTTCCGATATGGTACGGCGTCTTTTTTTATGTCACTATGTCTAGGTGCATTCTGGACTGTGTGATCGTGTTATTTGGATCGAGAGAGTCTGGTGTTCTTTGGTTTACGTACTGATCTACAGTAGTTTGTGTACGGGGTGGGTGACTCTCGAGATGACATTGTCATTTTAATGTCTTCAATATCAGTTTTGGGTAAGATCTCCGTAAGAGTTGATCACGATGGAGGTACATGGGATTATGTACTGTCACAGGTATATCTGTATGCGCTGGTACTTATGACTAAGTACCTTTAGCGAAGAATAGAGAGAGACCTGGTGATCGGAAACCGATTCCACGAAACAACGCCACTTCACCCCTCAATTTCTTAATCTAGACTTGCATTCACTTACGGGAGAATCGCCTGACAAACCTGCCTAGAAACAAAGAAGGGCAAAAGTACTCAAAAGAAATGAAAAAGCCCAAAAAAGCTTGATGGCCGAAATTATCCAAACAACCGTTGACCTATCATCTTCATTCTCTTCCCTTTTACTATCATACAAACCTTAGATGTTGGCGGTAAGCACCCTGATTGGTCTCGGATATCAACTAGTTTAGTCCTTTTCTTTTTTGATTTTCTACATCTGAAACATTTAAGGTTAGCGTGAGCGCCTGAGATATCCATGGATCCGATATGTTTAAACGTGATTAAACTACCCGTTTGTTGATACGTTTGATTACTCTGATACATCTGATACATTCTAAGTAAATTGCTGTCTACTCTACTCTGAATGATAATATGAACACATTCCAGACTAGACTGGTTCAATTGAGATCTAAATGATTTACTGACACTGATTCAGCGCTCGGAGAAGTCAGACCCTCATATTCCGTAGCTGTTTCAACATGCCCCCTCTTTTAACGCACATCCTCTATTGGATCGGTGTCTGGTGGATGTATCACGCTATTCTATTCTTTTTTTTCCCTTTTTCTATAATTTAATTTATTTCTTTTTTCTCCCGTTTGCACTTTTTCTTCAGGAGTGGAGACGTCTCAAGTATAAAATTGATCCCGCCTCCCCTGTTTGTGGGAATGATTAATCTGTAGTCCATTGTGCATGTCGATTGTGCCTGTACCTATTGTCCTTATCTATTCATCTATATTCATTCCTTTCCACCTATTGTCTTCTGCCATTTTCGTCAGTATCTGGGATACTAGACTTTTCCAGTCTTTGAAAGACTCCCTCTTTCCAATTCCTCTTTCTCCTTACAACTATCCTACAAAGATCCCACCATTTAAGCGCAATGCACGTTTTCTCCACCCTCCTGCCCGCTCTGGGCTTGTTATCCCAGGTATCTTCCGCCGCATACACCCTGCGCGACGACTATGGTGCCTCCGACTCGTTTTTCGACAGGTTCAACTTCTACACCGTATGTCCCTCAACATTACTCCCACTTTCCGTCCCATCTGTAATACTCATCCAATGCATAGGACACCGACCCCACCAATGGCTTTGTGAAATACGTTGACCGTAACACTGCCTTGAGCAACGGTCTCATCAACACGGGCAACGGCGTCTACATCGGCGTCGACCACTCCAACGTCGCCACCACGCCTGGTCGCCAAAGCGTCCGCCTGGAAGGTACCACTACCTACAAGCATGGACTTGTTATTCTCGATCTGGCGCATATGCCCAGCAGTACATGCGGCAGCTGGCCTGCCTTGTAAGAGCCCCGATCCCCAATTCCTTCTCTCTTGTTTAAACAGAATTTAAAAAAGGACTAACCCTCTGCAGCTGGATGCTCGGCTCCAACTGGCCCAACAACGGCGAAATCGACATAATCGAAGGCGTAAACGAGCAAACCCAAAACCAAATGGCCCTGCACACCAGCGACGGCTGCACAGTCAACAACACCGGCTTTACAGGAACCCTTGATACAGCAAACTGCTACGTCCAAGCCCCTGGCCAATCCGCCAACAGCGGCTGCTCAATCCGAAGCGACAGCACCCAGTCCTACGGCACAGGATTCAACAACGTCGGCGGCGGCGTCTACGCCACAGAATGGACCGGCTCCGCCATCTCAGTCTGGTTCTTCCCCTCCTATGCCGTGCCCGGTGATCTCTCATCTGGAAATCCCAACCCGGCGGGCTGGGGAACGCCCACGGCACGTTTTGCCGGCGGCTGCGATATCAACTCGCATTTCAATGACCTGCAGATCGTCTTCGATATTACTTTCTGTGGAGACTGGGCGGGCTCGGTTTGGGGTTCGTCGAGTTGTGCTAGTCGTGCGGGATCGTGTGTCGATTACGTGCAGAATAATCCGACTGCTTTCCAGGAGACTTATTGGCGTGTGCGGTCGCTGAAGGTTTATCAAGATTGGACTATTTCCGTCGCCGGTGTGGAGGATGAGGAGGTGGATGCTGGTGTTGGTGTTGGTGTGGGTGTGGGAACTGATGCTGATTGGGATCCCACAGGTTTGTTTGAGCGTTCTGAGCCTAAGACTTCTATGAAGCATCGTCGACAGCATTATCGTCATGGGCATGGACATGGTCATGGCCATGCTTAGATGGTGATCGTGATTGTGCTAGCTGGATGGATTGTTTTCTGCGTTGAGAACGATATGGATTCGATCTGTTTTGCATTTCGATTGTGATTTACCATTTCATTTCGGCCTGCTTCTTGATTCCCATCTGTTTTGTGGTGTCTTCTCGTCTGGACTCCAATGGCCTGTGCTAGTCCACGGCTGTGGAAGGACGAGCGCGTTTGATACGCTTTATGCTTTACGATGACTTTGTTGATACCCTTTCCATTTCGATGGTGAAATGAAATTCGAACAATGAAAATGGGCAATGGTGACTATAAGCATGGCTATTCTCTTCTAGATATTTCGTCTGGACCTTAAGTGCTTAGTAGATCTACCGTTCTTAGCTACTGCAGTACACCTAACTGTAACCCGCTACTATATACATCTCCCGAGGTCATTGCCCTCATTTCCCTTCCTCGGCAGAAACTTTCCTCGCTCAACACTCTTGCGTGTCTTCAGAGGTTAAGCAAGTTCAATCTAAACAGCTTAGCTCCAAGATTTCCTACTTCAAAGCTTCATCTCGTTCGTGATATGATAGAGAGCTAGTCCCTCATCACAGTATGTGAGGCTGTTGGCCCATAATTTTACTTGATCTAATGAGCCTTATGGAGATACATTGGATGGTGCCTCGTATATATTACAATACAAATCCTCATTAATGATTCGCTGATCTTTAGCCACGCCTTGGTTGAATTGCTCAACGTGCTGTCAGATTGAGATAATAGCCTTCATCTCATATCAAAGATAACGGAAGGGATATGAATCATTATAACCCGCCTAGCTGCTGTCTAACACGGTCGACTGGCTCGTACTCTCCATTCTCACAACTCTTCAGCTCTTCTGATGTAGTGGTCAGACTAAGTGGTTACACTGTGACCCGGGTGACTTACTCGGAATAGTGGCGCCGGCATATCGACGACCCAATTATCTGTACATAGCTAAAAAAACAACCAATTAGCCACAGTCTGTGTAGAAACAGCTTCCCAAACGCATCGCATCGGTAAGTCTTATGAGCGGTCGTACCCCGCCTCGCCACGTCAAGCCTCGCAGGTGCAGAAGCCACTAGTAAACGTACATGTGCTTTAGCAGGGAATGGATTCTCATTGAGACCTCCAAGTGTCATCTTTGCAAGCATTCTATTACAAAATACATGCAGTATAGTTTCATTTACACTATTTTTTTCAAGATGCTAAATGAAATGAGTAAGACAAGATTAAAATATATACCTAAATCTATGTACCAATTGAACTCCATATTAACATTAGTATTAACCTCAGACCCCAAACCCAAGAACATCACGCTGATCATCCGTAAGCCGACCCCATTCTAAAAGTAGCCGAAAGAAGTAAATCTCCATGTCGTCCTTCCTCAACGCCGTGCTCGCCCACTTCCGCCCTTCCTCTGCAATCCACTTCCCCTGCTCATCATGCGCTTTCATGCGCATTTGGGAATTAGGACCCCTCTCTTCGGATGCAGTAGCAGGTACGCCCGCAAAGTACGCAAGCGTACTCCACAGTCCATGGAGACGAATATCAACAGGGACGAAGTGTAGCCACGAGGTGACGCGGGAGTCAAACCACTGGCGGAACAAACCTGTTTTGAGAGGCAAGCTGCGGCTGTGTAGGAAGGGAAGGAATCGGCCGCTGAATCCAGCGCCGTCAAGGTCGAATAGGAAGCGGTGCGACCAGTGTGCTTGGAAGTCTGCCCAGCCTGCGATGCCCAACTCTTCGGCTTGTTCGTCGCAGTCGCCGAAGTCGCAGCGGACGATTGGGTCGGCGATGTGGACGGCGGTTTGGAGACCGAGGTCTGAGGTCGGGGCGCTGCCGTCCATTGTCTCGTAGCGGAAGGACTTTTCGTTGGAGTCTGTTGGGAGGAGGACGGAGACTTGGTTGTTGGTATTGTTGTTTATTAAGTGGGCGAAGCGCTGGCGTGGCATGCCTTTCCACTCGCCGAAGCGGCTGACGCCTTCTGATGTGCTGCCAAGCCAGTAGAGGGAGTTCTCTTTCTGGCTGTACTCGGGATCTGGGTGTTCGTCTGTGGGTTGGTATTTTATCTTGTCAATGTAGTTCCATGGGCTTGGGAAGAGGATGTCGTTGAATCCGGTGAGAGCGCTCTGGCTGAATACCGGAATGAGTTCTTGTGACACCTTGAATGAGGCCGGGGATATTAGGAGACCGTGGAGGAAGGCAAGGTCGGGTTGGTGGCAGATTTCGGAGGCGATGTTGAAATCCAGGGGGAATTGCCCCATGGAATGAGGAGCCACGCATGACAGACAGATCTCATGACGATTCCAGATTCGTTGAGAGCGCGCCTTCGATGAAGGTGGGCAGACAGCGCTCACATATGGATCAAAGACACCCCTCCACGCCCCGTCAGTGAATACGGTAATGTTGGTTTGATCAGCAGGTTCAATTGGGCCCCAGCCCTCCTCTCGGTTGTTCGACCAAGTATGCACCATGCGCTCATTGGGAACCATCTCTTGCATCTCAGTTTGCCGGTTCAACATTGATATTTTCTCCCATGGAACTGTAACACGTGGTTCATCATTCAGATTGAACACCAAGTCCATATCCGGGAGATATTTGCTGAAATTCTTCATCATGTCCGCGGCACCCGCTACCATCCACGCATGGGTCGGTTTGATGCCTTCTTGCACCATGGCCGTGCCGTTGCGGATTCTGATCCCACCGAGATCGTTGAAAGGGTTTGTTGCCAGTTCGTGCGTCATTGCGCGGATGTGCTCCGGGGCTAGGGCTCGGAATGGAAGTAGATCGTGGTATATTTGATCGAAATCATCGATGATAGCCGACGATCGGCTAGTAGCATATTGATACCATTCGTCAAAGCCCCTAGACGAAAATTAGTTAAGCTGTGCGACAAACATGGATATTCAAAACATACGGTGGTGGATGCTGATTGTATCGCCTCCGGTATTCGGTGACAGCATCTCCAAGAGTCTTGCTCCTAGATGCCTGAGCCAGATAGTTGTGATGTTTAATTTCTCCGTTGTTGATGAGTATCTCAATCGGGTGTATATCAGCAAGACGATGCTTGCTCACAGCAAAAACGAGACTAATCCCACATAACACGGCGAACAATATTTGTATGGCCACATTGGTGCGGTATAATTTCGGCTCTTCGCCATGAACCACTCGCGCAAGAAGAAATAGGAGGGCACCCGTCAGAGATGCAGCCAACGAGAGAACAACATGAGTTAGAGAGATATATGGGAATGTTTGTTGCTCTGTGAGGATCGATGAAGAGGAGAAGTATACGATCATAAAGCCGGCTATAATGGACACACCAAGGATGTCGAAATGTGGCAACTAAGAGAGTCAGTATTGATAGAGAAATAAGGTTAGAGAATGACAAGACTAACCATGTGCCAGGCCGACAAGACCAGTATTAGAACCAACACAGACTGGCTGAAAGCGCTGCGCGAATACTCTAGACCCAACACGGGTTGACTGGCAAATTCAGGAAAGCTACCTGGTACCAAGTAGGGTATAACACTCCAGACCAACGAAAGACCCTTAGAAGACCATCAGAACAAATATTCCCAGCACGATGGTTGTTATCTGCTTACCAAGAGACCAGCTCCAAGGAATGTCAAAGCTCGTTTTCTGCGCGCATCATCAAATTGAGTGCCAATCCGGCATAACTCGGTAATTCCAATAAGTATAACAGAATCAGCAAACAGGTTGAACAGCCTGTAGGATCGTAGGCGCGATGCGCCATGTAACATAATGGGACAGATATAGGTTGACCGGGTTCCAGCCGAGAACGATGAAGCCAAAAGCCCACCAACCGACAAAAAAGCGGCTGCAATTAAACCTCTGGACCGGCTTTGCGTAAGATAATAGAAGCTCCGGCGGGAAGCAGAGTAGACCACCTGCAGCGGCAGCTTTTCGAATCGTTGGGTAGGGACATATTTGTCTACTTGCCGTGATCGCTGGTTGCGCCAGTAGTCATAGAGCGAAATAACGAAAGGAATAGCGTACTGTGCAAGATACCGTGTTAGGCGCATGAAAAAACGAACGATAACCAATGAATTTAGCCACTTACAGCGTATCCAGCTGGCGCGCATTCCGTGTTCAGAGTTACTTGGCGGAACGACTCAATCCGCAAGCCACATAGCCCCATCAAGAGACCAATTTTTATCCACCACAGTTGAAACCGTAGCCGAGGGCGAGTCTCGACATCGCCTAGTGAGAAAGATGACGTCGATGCGCGGGAGGGAAGCTCAAATTGCTCCGCGAGAGCGATAACTGGCCGTTTACTTATCGGCAATGATGGCGAGGACGTCAATGAAACAAACCGACTCCATACCAAGAGAGTGAACCCCGTAAGGAAGCAGACGAAGACAGATGTACTAATGGGGCGATCTGCATCGGCGCAACAGTCAGATCAAGTTGCAGAATGACATTGATATCCACGACAACGACTTACCAAAAGCAAATGTGGTATTGTAGGAGGTAGTAAGGAATAGTGAGCTTAGAAGAAATATCCTACTCATAGAATGCGATCATGAGTTTAAGTTTTCAATAATGTGATATAGCTTGCTAGGTACTTACCCCACACAGAGCTTCAGCCGGAGGTCAGAGCATAATTGGATCATATTGCGCCAATCGTTTTATGATCGTTTTAAGGCGTCGCAGGCCATCGCTGTGATTTCAACAATGAATCAAATTGTTGAAAGGGTAACAAGACAGAAGACAGAAGATTAACCTACCTGTGGATCTTTGGGACATTAACAGTGTTCGAAACATGGTAAAAAAGCAGGGCAGGAAGAGCCAAGAGGGCCCTTTAATCCACTGGCGGCTAATCAGAGGCAATTCGGAGTGCTGATCCATTAGGGTTGCGTCAACGGGCGGGTTATGATGTAGTTCACGATTGGACTTTTACTGGCACATAACCACGGGCCCTGCCTTTCATAGCTTGTATTTCTGGTATTTTGCCAATGAGAATGGTGGAACATCGCTAGCTACTACGCCTAAATCGTTAGCTCCTAGTAGTTAGCATATTTTGCCCTAGATTTTATATTGCAAAAGCTGGTCAGCAAGAAATGCCGAGCCGGTCAGCAGCCAGAATCAAGCCTTGGTCAACCTCACGACCCACTTCAATCCTGAGCGTCATGTCCCTTGTGGGACCTTCTAATGCATATATGTATGCTGTGCTTTATACATCATACCCAGCCTTGATGCAGACCCTATGAACGGCATCGATGTAGATAAAGAATGTTCACACGCAGCCAAGACCCAGTCCACGCGTCATATCAGCTACGACCCTGTTGGCCATATCCTGTCGGCTCCATTCGGCTGCATGTCGTGAAATAAAGATGCCCCGACCGACCCACGGTTAGCTCCAAAATGGTACACTCAAACAAATTAGGCTAAGCTCAAAGTAGACCGGGTATTTCCTAATTTGGTCAGTCCACGTCACCTATAGTCATGTGATTCGATAAGGGTCCAGGCGGTGTCGACTATTTACCCAATAAAATGCACCGCGGCTAGTCCGTTTCAAGCCTTCGAACTCAACATAGAGTGTCCCACGTGACCTTCAAAAAGTATAAGACCAATCAAACATAGTAAAGGGACCCACATCTGTATGCGCTTCATAAAAGACCAAGAAAGAGCAAAAATAAGGGCTTCTCTTGGATCAAGGGTGCCGTGCTTAGTGCAAGGGCCATGTATCTTCTCTGTGTATCTTTAGTTGACTATATGCCCTAAATGGCAAAGGGTGAATCTGTAGATCTCGCTGTACCCCCGTTTGGGGCAGAGAGATGCCATACCGCCTACTTGTTTAGGAAGACCCTCGCAGATTTCAGACACGTGATAATGTACTTAGGTAATTGCGCAGGTGGGATCAAAGGTCCCAGGGCGGTGTGGTTTCCTAGGCGGTGTCAGACAGCAGTATCATTTTTTTCTAACCGCTAGGAAGTTTTTTGGTCGCAAGACGAAGCCAAGGGTTTTTTCCAATCAACACTACTCCGGAATCGCCATGCCTCGCAAGGCGATTGACTCGCGGATTCCCGCCCTTATTCGAAATGGTGTGCAGGAGAAGAAGCGCAGCTTCTTCGTGGTTGTTGGCGACCATGCCAAGGATGTGATCGTGCACCTTCACTATATTATGTCCAGCGTGGACGTGAAGCAGAACAAGTCGGTACTATGGGCTTATAAGAAGGACTTGCTCGGCTTCACCAGTCACCGGAAGAAGCGCGAGATGAAGATCAAGAAGGAGGTCAAGCGTGGCATTCGCGAACCGAACCAGGAAGATCCATTCGAACTTTTCATCACCCTCAACCAGATCCGCTATGTCTACTACAAGGAAACCGAGAAGATTTTGGGTAACACCTACGGCATGTGTGTGTTGCAGGACTTCGAAGCCATGACTCCTAATTTGCTTGCACGAACCGTCGAGACCGTCGAGGGTGGAGGTTTGGTAATCCTGCTTTTGAAGAGCATGACCAGTCTGAAGCAGCTTTACACCATGTCCATGGATATTCACTCGCGATACCGAACTGAGGCGCACGATGATGTTGTTGCTCGTTTCAACGAGCGATTCATCCTGTCCCTCGGAAGCTGCGATTCGTGTCTTGTGGTCGACGATGAGCTGAATGTGTTGCCCATCTCCGGCGGCAAGACCGTGAAGCCCCTCCCCGCCCCCGAGACAACCGACGAGTCAGCTTTCGGCACAAAGAAGGAATTGAAGGAAATCAAAGAGAGTTTGGCCGACTCAAAGCCCGTGGGCCCTCTGCTCAGCTTGGCTCGCACCGTGGATCAAGCGAAGGCGCTCCTGACCTTCGTTGATGCAATCGCTGAGAAGACGTTGAAGAGCACGGTTACATTGACCGCCGGTCGTGGACGCGGAAAGTCCGCCGCTCTCGGTGTCGCCATTGCCGCGGCTGTCGCTCACGGCTACAGCAACATCTTCATCACTTCTCCCAGCCCAGAGAACTTGAAGACACTCTTCGAATTCATTTTCAAGGGCTTCGATGCACTTGGATATCTCGACCACGTTGACTACACCATCCTGCAGTCGACCAACCCCGACTTCAACAAGGCCGTTGTGCGTGTGAACATTCACCGCAACCACCGTCAAACCATCCAGTACATTCAGCCCCAGGATGCGCAAGTCTTGGGACAGGCAGAGCTTCTCGTTATCGATGAGGCCGCAGCTATCCCTCTCCCATTGGTGCGCAAGCTGATGGGACCTTACCTGGTGTTCATGTCCTCCACTATCAATGGATACGAAGGCACGGGCCGGTCCCTGTCTCTGAAGTTGATTCAGCAACTGCGGGAACAATCCCGAAGTGGAGTCAAGACAGACGATACCGACATCGCTGACCGCAGCACAGGCAAGTCGGCCAAGGGTGCCGACAAGAACCTCACCGGCCGAACCTTGAGAGAGATCACTCTCTCAGAGCCCATTCGATATGCCCCGGGTGATTCTGTTGAGAAATGGTTGAACAAGGTTCTTTGCCTTGACGCAACTCTTCCCAAGTCGAACATGAACACACAAGGATGTCCTCACCCCTCGAAGTGTCAGCTTCTTCAGGTCAACCGTGATACCCTGTTCTCCTTCCACCCTGTTTCCGAGAAGTTCTTGCAGCAGATGATGGCGCTCTACGTTGCCAGTCACTACAAGAACACACCCAACGACCTTCAACTTATGAGTGACGCTCCCGCTCATCAACTCTACGTCCTCGTCCCTCCCATTGATGAGGGAGCCGCCAAGCTGCCCGAGCCACTTTGTGTCATTCAAGTCGCCCTTGAAGGTCGCATCAGTCGCCAGAGTGTGCTCAACAGTTTGAGCCGTGGTCAGCGCGCAGGAGGTGATCTCATCCCGTGGTTGGTCAGCCAGCAGTTCCAGGATGAGAACTTCGCCAGTCTCTCAGGCGCTCGTGTTGTCCGCATCGCAACCAACCCCGAATATGTGGGTATGGGATACGGTTCCCGTGCTATGGAGCTTCTGGTCGACTTCTTCGAGGGCAAGTTCACCAACCTGGAGGAGGAGAGCACTGCCGTCGAAGAGCAAATGGTCCGTGTTACGGACGAGGAGCTCGCCGGTTCTAGCCTTTTGGATGACAACGTCCACGTCCGTGACATTCGCTCCATGCCCCCGCTGTTCGGTAAGCTGAGCGAACGTCGCCCTGATGTCCTCGACTACATTGGTGTCAGCTACGGTCTTACCCCATCCCTCCACAAGTTCTGGAAGCGCGGTTCTTTTGTCCCCGTGTATCTGCGTCAGACTCCCAACGAACTCACCGGAGAGCACTCTTGCGTGATGGTTCGCACTCTCTCTACTGGCGAGACTGATGACGCCTGGCTGAGCGCCTACGCGCGCGATTTCCACAAGCGATTCCTCGCGCTGATGTCCTACCAATTTGGGCAGTTCCCATCTGTCCTCTCTCTCAGCATCTGCGAGTCTGCCAACTCCGGTGCCAAGAAGGACCCGAAGTTCAAGCCGCACATGCTGCAGAAATCCGACCTCGATGCCGCTTTCTCGCCCTTCGATCTCAAGCGTCTGGACAGCTACGCCAACAACCTCTTGGACTACCACGTCATTTTGGATCTGGTCCCCGCTCTCTCCGATTACTACTTTGCCAACCGTCTCGATGGCAAGGTCAGCCTCTCCGGCGTGCAGCAGTCCATCCTCCTCGCCATCGGCCTGCAGCACAAGAACCTCGACGACCTTGAGAAGGAGCTGAACCTCCCCTCCTCCCAGCTCCTCGCCATGTTCCTCAAGATTGTCCGCAAGATCTCTACCCACTTCCGCAATCTCATCGAGAATGATATCGAGAAATCTCTGCCCGCACAGAAGGTCCGCATCGAGACCTCCGCCGCTCACGACGACGAGCCCGAAGTCAGCCTCCAGCCCCTGCCCATCAGTCTCGAGGATGAGCTCCGCGAGGGAGGCAAGAAGATTGATGAGGAGATGCTCGCCAAGCAGCGTGCTCTGAGCGCATCAAACCCGTAAGTTTCGATCACGTTTCCTGTCTGTCGAAACAACAATAACTGATTTCCAGCCCACAGTGATGGACTTGACAGCTCTAAGTCTTCCAAGCGCAAGAAGGTCGAGACTGCGCGCGACATCTACGACAAGGAGATTGACTCCAAGAGACAAAAGATGATCAAGAAGGGCACCGAGGGCCGCAAAAAGCGCTGAATGATTTAGGGTCTGGACAGTTTTCTTTCTGCATTAATGTATGGTGTTCGGTTTCTTGGGTCTAAAAAGACTTGCTTGTGTCTAGTATTTGTCTGTATTCTTCAAGGTTCATGTTTCCACAGGATATCCGTCTCTTGTACATACATATGAATCATGTGTTTATTATGCCTACAACAGTCTGGTTGATTCGTAGTGGTAGATGGGATATCCCCAAACGGCTTGATGCATTGGGTACATAAGCTTATGCGATTCGCTCTCAAAACTAGGAGAAAAAAATGAAGACTAGATACAGGTCACCAAACTAGCATCAACTAGCATCGACCTCATTCCAGGGACCGCCAAATGATCACAGCTCATCATGCTCCACGGCCTGTTCCTCAGCCTCAGCTTCAGTCTCTGCCTCAGCCTCGGCCGTCTCAGCTTCAGGCTCAACCTCAGCTTCCGCCTCAGGCTTAACCTCAGCCTCGGGTTCAGCCTCAGCCTCAACACCGGCAACAAGACCCTCAGGCAACTTCTGCTTAGCACCCTCACCCAATCGAATTCCATCAACCCAGGACTCAACCGCAACAGCGCCGAAGTCGGCATCGGCACCGCTGAACCGACGCCACCAACCGCGACGCGCATTCAACGCGATGATCTCAACAGTCTGGCCATCAGCCAATTCCAATGCGTCACGCAGAGTCTTGGACGCAGTGTTGATAGCAGGGATGGCAAACAGCGGGAAGAGGTGCGTTCCGCGCTGGGCGTGCTTGTGGCCGATCTCAGCGAGGCTTGCGAGCGCCTCGGTGGCAGACGCTGGAAGCGCGGCGTCGGGCTCGCTCGCCTCGGGGAGAATGACTAGCACACAGGTGCCGGACTTCGGTGCGAGACAGGCTGACTCGAGGGATTCGGGGGTGGAGAGGGTTGGGATCGGGGGTGCGGGGATAGGGACCTGAACTGGCTTGGCGGAGGGGTCTGTCTCGTCCTGGTCCGGGGAGGCGGTGGGCTTGAGGTCTTCGGCGTCATCGACGATGGAGGTAGGCTTGGAAGCAGGCTTAGACTTTGGCTTCGGCTTGGGCTTGGAGGCGGAACGGGGTGACGCGTCCGGGTTCGGTGTCGCCGCTTGGCTCAGGAACTCGGTGATGGGCTTCTTCTTCAGCTCGCCGGCGTAGATTTCAGGCTCGGCCTCGGCGCCGGGGATGAGGACAAGCGCCGGGACCTCAGTTACGCCGTACTTCTTCACGGACGCGGATTCTTTGTTCCGTACTTGGGCGATGTCAATTGCGCCGAGGAAGTCAATTGCCAGGGCGCGGATCAGCGCGCCAGTTGAGCCCTTCTCAGTGAAGAGGATGGCCTTGGGCCGGTCCTCGTTTTGTCCGAGCCATTTGTCCAGGTCCTTGTCTGTTGCGCGCTTCACGTGGTTGGGGATGCGGTCGACGACTGCGTCGACGATGCCCTTGGCGCTGCGCGCACCTTGGTAGTCCTCGACACGGGGCTTTCCGGGCTTCTTGGAAGGTGTCACGATTTTCAGGGTCGGGAAGCCCTGGACACCCATCTGTCCGCAGAAGGGTTTGTTTTCGTCATCGTCGCAGTTGATCGCCGCGACTTTCGCGAGTCCATCGAGGTTTTTCGCGGCTTTTTCGAAGGCGGGTTTGAGGTTCTTGCAGTGGCCGCACCAGGGCGCGTAGAATCTAAGTGACAAGTGTGAGTGAAGGTCGGAGGGGAGAGGCAGAGGGCTAGATAGCTAGCTAGCTATAGTGCGGGATAGCTTACTCGACGATCTACAGAGTAGCCAAACATTAGTCGATTTTGCACATTTAGTATGACGGTAGATACTCACCGAGGTATGATTCGAATTCGCGATCAGCGAGTTATAGGTTTTGGCATTCAACTGGATCACCGGCGAATTCTTGGTGTATAGTCCATCGGCGTTAACAGGCAGTGCCGCAAGAAGCGACACAAGCAAAAGACTGGCGCTGTGCAGCATGGCTAATTGGTAATTTCAAGGCAGAGATGAGATTCAGCAAAGAAGCCAAAGAGGAAAAAAGGAAAGACAGATGGTCCGACACATTACGCAAGGTGTCCTGAAGCTCTTGGCGTGCGGATGGTATTGGCTACGACTATACTATTTTCAGGTACTCGCAAGGAATATATTAAAGCATCAAATATCTCAATATGCGTGATATTATGTCTTGAATTAGTTTGATAATGGTTTTCATGTCAAAATATCTAAGACTTGACACTGTCAAAATAATCTCTTCTATAAACATCCTATGAACTTGTCCGTCTCCACGATCCCGTGTCTTTCCTCTTTGATAAACACAACCTCGCAATGGCTAGATCAAGAGAGAGCCATGATGTGGTCTTTCTACCTGGCGAACTATTCTGGATGATCCTAGCCTACCTAGAACCAAACGAATTAGTCCGATGTCGCCGCGTCTCGCGTGCCTGGAACGAAGCCTTTAGCAACCCGGCCATCCTACTCCTACTCCTGAAGAAACAGTTTCCATGGACAGAAGAAGTCAAAGGTTTGGGCTCTGAAATATCACCTAATCAGCAAAACCAAGGCCGCCATCTTTTCGATCAGGTTGCTTCACGATACGATTACCTAAAACGAGGCAAACCCCGCTCTATCCAGAAGTACCGCCTCTGCGATGACTTTGGCAGCGCGGGAGATCGTGAATGGTATCAGGTTCAGCCATGGGAGTCACACGCCAGTCATATGAGGCGCTTCATTGACCGTCAGTTTTCTGAGGCTCTATGGACTTTCGAGGATGGCCTGCTGGTCTACCCCAGCGCCGATCATCAGTTTCTCGTGCTTATGGATTTGGATACGGATCGGCAGTTCATTGTGCCATTTATTACTCGTGGCAAGGTTGTTCGTCGAGTCCGGCTACAGAAGAGCTTGCTCGTCATTGAGTGGGCTGAGCCGAAAGCCTTTCACTGGTTGAATGATAGCGATGGCGTGCATCGTCACTTTGCATCCTCCTTTGATATAACGAGGAGTGAGAACCAGGGCTGGAATGTTGTCCCACGCAATGAATGGAAGATTATGTTTTTGGGACATCCGCTGAGCGAGCGAGATCGGTTCTTCTCCTCGCATAGCAATACTCACTATGTGATTTATATATGGCAGCCAAATCGCAGCTTGTACACCGCAGATGAGGATGCCCCCATTGAGTCGTTGTTTGTTTGGGACATATCAAAACCATCGTCATATCGACCTTCATTGGATCCCACAGGACGACTGAGAGATGACTCACCTGGTGACTCTCCATCAATCGTGGCACGATTCGGATTCCGAGACCTGGAGTTCTTCGATATCCGACAACGGGGCTGTCCAAGCATTCAACGATTGGAGATTACGGATGATGCCCAGGCAGTTGAAATTACAGAAAACGTTTGCATCCGGCCGGAAGACCAACCACCCGAGCCATTCGGGTTTCCTCAACCTATTACTACGAGCATTCCTCTACTCGGGAATGGGCCCCATTGGCGCCGGGATTTCGAGGGGATACTACCGCCTTACCGTGGGAACTGCAGCATGCAGGCAGAGAGTATGAGGTTCGATGGGTCTATCATGACGGATCCTTGGTTTGGTGTCATTTCTCAAGTGACTGTACTTGAGCCTGATCTTGGCTTTTGCCTTCACTTCGATCCTTGGACGTGGATGCAAGATCAGATTGTCTATTTGACCATCCGGACACCTCGCTCGACTATCACTTGTGACAATTGGGATTTTGTTGGTAGGGGCAAGATGGCTGGTTGTGAAAGATACCTGGTGGGTGAGAATTGCAATCGAGAGTTAGTGATTTACCGGTTTGATAGATGAATTGAAGATAGATACGAATATTTTTCCAGTTATACGATCTCTATCCTTCACGACGTAAGGATGCTATAAATCTGATACATTTAGCTAAGGATAAAATAAGGGAAATTATATGTAAAAACACTAATATAGTTTCCGATATCCTTTTTAGGCTTTTTAGATGTATACGATACACGATCACCTGGAACGAGTCGAGCTCCGGTCCGGATTGGGGCCGTCACAAAAAGGGAATCGGACTACTACCTACATCCATATACATCATACGTAGGTATATAGCTAGGCAGTGTTGACCCTTCTAAATCTTTGTCCTTATTCATACCAAGTCTGCACATCCAACGTCCGGGTCTCCTACTTTGTACACTTCCTTTCTTCCTCTTGTCTGACTTAAATGCCACCTACCTTGACTATGAACTCACTGAAGGCTCGTGCCAAATCCTACTTCAGACGCCCACGCAAGGCGATCAGCGCCTGTTCTGAGATCCCATGCATGACTACCCTCGCCGGACTCCCCCCGGAGCTATTATTATCAATATCCGACTTTCTTCCACTTGTTGATCTTATTTGCTTTTTCCTTTGCAATCATCGACTCCTCGAGCTGTCTCAGAGACAAATAAAACGGTTGCCTCCTCCCACAAAATACAATAAGCTCTCAATCTTAAACCGATTGGAACGAGATATTCCAGAATACTTCGCTTGCGATTTTTGCTACCTTCTTCATCGGTATGATGGATCTGAAGGTTTTGGACTCAGCGGATTACCTCATGAAAGAACTTGCCGACTCCCGTGTGTCCACAAGGAGTGGTTTTACCTGGACTAGTTTGACTAGTCGTTCATTATGATAACCCATGTTGGCATGGATCATTCACCAAACCATCTTTCTTTCCGCCAGCTCAAGCTTGCTATGAGGAGGTTTTACTATGGTCCAAGATCAGGGATCAGTACTGATTCCCTATCATATACACAAGTCCGCCAGCACCCGATACAGTCAATCCGCCCAGACATAATCTCGCTATTCTCAACCGAAGCACAAATATGTCCCAAGCATCTCGGTCTTTGTATCAGGATGCATGACATAGTGCTCGTTAGAACACTAGACGATTTGATTTTGGATCCAGGACGCGAATGGGGCTCAGATCCTCTATACACTCTTGAAGTATGTGCACATTGCCACCTTCTTACCCTTATCACCCCAATTGTGGAATTCCTACACTACGGAGAGAAGACATCTATTGCCTATACCTGTTACAAATGCAATACAGATTCCAAGGTTGAAATTGGTGGATTTGACTCCAAAATAGCTCTCATTATGACAAGGTGGGTCAACCTGGGCCCTGGCCTTGCTAAAGATGACCTATTGTGGAAGACTCATGTCAGATTTACCGAATATCCCCGTCCACGACTTGACGAAAATGACACTGAACGCTTGGTTATGGGGGTTCCCCGCTTTTGTTTTGAAGACATGGCTCCTCAATCATTCGAGGACTTACAGTCTCGCAACCTCTCGTATCTCAGAGACCAGAAATACAAAACCCCCATGCCTTTCATTGCAGCGGGACTAAACGTTTGGTACATGTCATGCAAAGAGCCTCCAAAGAAAAGGGGAAGGGGAATTGAAACCCTGCGATCCTTACTACGCCATTCGACCTTATCTCGAGAAAATAGGACTATCGCGAAAACAACTAGACAAAAGCCGACATTTTGTTACTCGCCTTCACCAAACAACCGCCCTATCTGGGAAGACCGCGAAGACTTAGTGCCCTTGATCTTATATATCCTGGGCTAGGGTAAAGTCTGCGGCGAGTCTATCATCTCCGGCTTGGAACTTGTTTACACATTTATCCTGCGGCGGTCCGTACACTATGGCTGATCGCTCTATCAAATCAACCCTCCGGACTAGATCACGGATATTATCTTATATCTGATCAGATATCTTTGACACCTCCCTTAGTGATTCTAAAGTGGCATGCTAGTAGGTTGATTCTCGCTACGCTCAGAGAATAAGAAACTATATTCCATATTCTTACTGTTATTCATAGTGCGTCCGCTTCTACCAGGATCTTTATGCACTGGTAGGACTCTCATTGAAGGGCCATGTGTGGCATTATCCCTGAATATAACATACATCTCGAAAGACAATTAAAAAGACCAGCTAAAAAGACCTACTAAAAAGACATCACAAGGCCGCAAACGCGGTTGACTATCCTTGTATACTATTAAGTGACAATTCGATCTTTAACTGGCAGAAGACATAAAAGTTCATCAGACAGCATTCACTGAGTTCAGTATTTTGCATATATCCACAGATACTAGTTACGTCCACGGGTACGTATGCGCATAGGTAGTACCTTCCGTAAGCCCATGCCTTCCCCGGGGCCCCGGGCCATCCAAACACACAAACCCCACCCCCGTCTGTTCTTCCTGCTTTTGAATCCATCAATTTTCATCACATCAACATCATCTCACATCCTAGTCACAACCACGCCAGCATATCAAGCAGAATCCTCAACGCTTGATTCCTCGCAATCCTCTTTGTTTTCTTGATGAGTGGAATTTGTATCTTAAAAGTTAAATGGACACACATTTACGGGAGGTTGAGATTGAACGTGACGCCTTCCTGGACTCATCAACCAGGCCCATTCGCAAGCTAGACATTGCCGATATCTCAACCCGTCTTGCAAAGAAAAAACACGCTTGTTCCAACTCTTCAACAGTGGCGTGATACAGATTTACCCGCTCAATGGGCGTGGGATGCAACAAAAGAAGACTTCAACCTTTCTGTGGAGAGTCCATTTGAATCGATTAAATCCCTTGTCCACGACTCTCCACGCCTACTCCCAATCTTCCAACAATGTGTTGAACAGAAAGTGAACCAGCCTGCTGCGCAGGCTCAGGGTGATCGAGACAAAGATGGGCAGGATGGGGTCACAGAAAGGGCGGGGCAGACAACAGGCCCGCACAGGCTCAGTGCGGACGGGGATTCACTCTCCCAAGTCTTCGGGTCTTAGGCACCGCGGGGGGTTCCTCCAGAGCCCTTCTCGTAGGGAAGACCACGAGCATCAGACATAGTGAGGAGATGTGGGACTGTATCAACTTTGAAGTAGCCATGGATCAAGTACCTAGGTAGCCACAGTGGCACCGGGGCAAGAATAACAATCAACTTTACTGAGGACTCTTAAGTGGTTAAGGATTTCTGTTCTTTATTTCGGTCAAATTAAACATGAAGGCAAAACGATTCATCTTGCATAAGGAGGACGTAGGGTAGAATAAGAAGTCGAGGTGATTTCAAAGTGAACTCGAAATGAATGCACTTGTACTGGCAATCAGGTATGTATCCAGCAAAGAATATCATCTGTGTCTATGTGCACGAGAAGAAAATTCTCGATCAAGATTGTTTAAATTCAATAGAATAATTGGGTGTAGAATCCGCCATGATATTGGCCGTGATTCTTTATTCGAAAGCCCAACAAAAAAATGAAATCGAAAACGGTCTTCCTCCCACAGTCCCCGAGGCATCCTTCTCCATTTCCCTGAACACAGCAGAGAATCCAGACGAAAGAGAAATCTAGACCGAACAAACAGACGAAGAAAAGAAACAAAAGAAGAACAGAAAACACATGTGATCCAACATTGGACGAATCACTGCTCCTGCACAGATCCCAAGAGAGAGTCACAACCACCCGTGAACTTACATCTGACACAGGCTTTCATACCACAGCCAGGACAGGTTAGGATGAATGAAGGCATCCACAAATTGCAAACATTGCACACGGGACGACAGAAATCCTTGTACCATAAACCAAGGTGGGGGCAAATCTTGGAATCATTTCGAACTGTAATAGGCGAGGCATTTGGGACGGAAAGACGAACTTCTTCCAACCAGCCACAATAGATCTCCAGCATAATGCCGTTGAGCTCGCCACCGAGATCATTGAGGGTGTAGCGTCCATGAGGGTCTGCGAGCTTTTGCTTGAGGAATGAGACTAGAGGGAGCAACGAATCATGGCCCACCATGTAGGAGTTGATCAGTTTGTCAGCTTCAGAGTTGGAGTCGTCGGTGGTGGATTCGTAATCCTCAACGGTGGCGGACTTGAAATTTGAACAGTTGTTTGCTGAATGAGTGTAGTCTGTGGAGTTGCTACTTGATGAAAAGTCAAAGGACGAATCATTGCTAGCAGCAGACGGAGGACTTGAAGCGCAATCAGAGTAAGCTGGACCCTCGGAATCGGAACGGCAATTTTTGGCATATTCATAGGCAAATTCATCAAATGTGTCGGCAGGGTTGCAGGTCTTGATATTCTCTTCAGGTAGGACATGCACAAAGTCTTCAAACTTGAGGTCATGGCCAAAGTTGAGTTCGTCCAGAACTCCTTCAACAACCTGATCAACCATATCGGCATATTTGGCATCTTGGTCTTGGTCTCTGGTCAACTCTGCTAGGTCACGCTTCATTCGAGCCCGCATGTTTTCCTTGCGGAGCTCTGCTCGTGCCTTTTGCACTTCTGGGTCAATACCAGCCCATTCGTTCTCCCACTGGACATTGTCTGCCTGGAATTGCGCGCGTCTTTCTTTGGAATCGGCCGAATCAGGGTCCATGTGTACACTTGTTCCATAACTGTAGTAGTAGCTATAGGTGTGCTGGCGTTGATGTCTCGGCTTGTGTGTAGATGCTGACTCGGTAAATGAGCCCGGCCAGTGAAAATCATTTCCATGGCGTTCTCGCTTTGAAGGGCGATTGTAGGTGCGCTTGTAGGTGCAAGCTTGTGTGTCATCCTCAGAATCTAGATGTCTCTTGGCTTTCTTTTTCAGGACCTCGTCAAGCAAGCGCCGACGGTCTTCGTCACGGAGAACCTCAACAGCATCTTGGATCTATTTTTGGTGGCTTGTCAGCAATGCTCAGATAGCCATATTACTGATGCTGTAGACTTACTTTTCTGAATCGCTCAATGGTTGCTGGGGCATTTCCAGCCTTGTCTGGATGGAGCTTTAAGGCAAGGCGCTTGTAGGCAATATTGATGTCAGAGAGCTTGGCATCCCGCTCAACTCCCAGGATAGCATAGGCATCAATAGTCACACTGGTGGTCGACATGTTTGCTGTCACACAAGTCTTGATAGTGAAAGTCAGTATTTTGCTATATGTGCATATTGGCTTGAAGATAAAGACTCGTTGCCAGTATTTGAACAGGCAGATAGAACGAGAGAGACAGAGAAAGTGATGTGAGGTCAATATGAAGGAAGGTATGTGGGCAATCAAAACATATCTGCCGGTGAGGAAGGTGTAGGAAACAGCCCGGAAGAATCGTTAAGGTGACGACAATATCAGAACTTACCGCACAAACGTGGAGAATCAAGCTGGAAATAATGGCCACCACAGACGCCCGAGAAGAGAGTATAAGACACCAGAAGAGTATGAGATTGGAGGAGAGAATGAGGATAGAAAAACAAGAGTAGGACCACTAGAGGAAGATCAACAATAGTGGAATAAAGAACAAGACCACGCAGAAAGGATATTTAGCATGAGATTTCAAGAACAGCAGGAGCAAGAAAGAGATTGTGGAGAAGGAAAGGAGGAAGAGAGAGAGTAGGAAGAGGAAGAAGAGAAGGGTATAAGTATGAAGACGATGCCTGATTGAGTAGATAATATAAAATAATGCTATTGTAATTCGAATCCCATTGATCAAAGAATCAGATCCTATTGATGGAAATAAGCTATAAATGGCTTAGTTCCATAATCACTTCAGATGACAGAACACATCAAACAAAGAAGAGTTGATCATCTGGGTAATCTCCAGGGTTAGGGCTATACGGGGGGGCACATGGTTATCCCATTTAAGTAAAGGCTATAAATCAAATAATTACAGGATCCCATGGCCATTGAATAGCAGAACTCTTCCAACCATTTTGTTTAATAACCTAGTTGAGGGCTATACACAAGGACGAAATCTGTACATATGAAATGAAAATGGATTGACTCTGATTTTACACAAGCTGAAGGTCGATCTAAATATGAACAAGTCTACACTAAAGGCGACTTGGTCCCGTAAGAGAAAGCTTCTACATATCCGCACTGGCGGTGGCTCCGGTGATAATCTCAACCAGCTCGCCGGTAATGGTGGCCTGGCGCTGACGGTTGTACAAGATCTGGAACCTAGAGGGCTGTTAGAGACGAATTTTGAAAACATTAGAGGTAGAACATACTTGTTGATCATCTCACCAGCGTTCTTGGAGGCGTTCTCCATGGCGTTGCGACGAGCGGAGATCTCGCAGGCGTGGCCCTCAGCCATAGCCCAGAAGAGGTTGTTAGCAAGGGCGTACTCGCGGAGGCTGGTCAGAACCTCATCATCAACCTCGTAAGAGGAGATGTTGGCTATATTGGAGGTTAGTTGAAACTCAATGAATTTCTTGGACATAACAAAGTCTCACCGGACTGGGTGATAGCCTCCTCGGAGTAGGCCTCAATGGTGACAGGCTCGTAGCTCTGAGCGTTGACGAAAGAGTTGTAGATGATGCGAACGCTAGCGTAATCCTCGGGCAGGAGAGCGATCTGGTCGGCAATGGCCTGGGCATCGGCGAAGGTGGGGATGTCCTTGCAGACGTTGGCGAAGCTCAGGACGATGTTCTCGGGGACGGAACGGGAGAGCGAAGCCTTGGCCTTCTCACCGAGAATGGCAATGTCGGCGTTGGGGTTGGCGGCCAAAATACGGCGAGTGGCCTTGCTCAGACCGGAGTGGATACCACCGCAAAGACCCTTGTCGGAGCTGGCAACAACCAGAAGAACCTTCTTGTCCTCCAGAGCCTTGGTCTCGGCCTGCTCGAAAACGGTGTTGGAAGTCTTACCATAGACGCGGGATTCGTCCATGGCCTTCTGAGCACGGGTGAGACGAGTGGACGCAACAATCTTCATGGTGTTGGTGATCTTCTCAATGTTCTTGATGGACTTGAGACGACCCTCAATCTCACGCAGAGTCGCGAAGGTGGCGGCATTGGCGGGGGCAGGGCTTGATTTCGCAGTCAGCAATTGTCGTTTTCGCCTCCTCTAACATCCAGCATATTTTCCAATTTCAATGGCGTCGAGGTGGTTGCGTCGGAGTACGTCGGGTGGAAGGACTTTGGCACGAGGTATCGGATGAAGACTTACCGAGCGACGGCGGCACCACCAGCCCGCAGGGCCGGGCGGACGGCACGGGAGAACATTATGGGAGAGATTGAGAGAGGAAATTGAACGAGCAGATAGTGACTGCAGAGAGGAGGGGAGTGACGAAGGTTAGACGGGGATGCCTCGCTGGTCGGGAAGGAAGTTGAGAACCAGGGAGGTTCTGTCTCCGTGCTGCCGCTAAACCGAAAGGGGCAAGCATCTACGGTGTACCATTCCGACTTCCACCGCAGTGGTGCCTCAGGCATTACAGTATTTACATAACATCACTTGACGCCTCAGGCACCTCACTTGTAATCGCTCAGGGCCTCTTTTCCCATTGCATTCCTCCATTCCAAGTCCCCCCCAAACCTTTTTCTCTCTTTCCTCACATCTTTTCTCACCTCTCGTCTCTGTCCCTCCGAATTCACCCACAACATCCGCTTTTTTCCATGTATCATTGATGCAGCAGATCTTATAACCATATTCTTACTCTTCATTGGTCAGAATTTCCTTGCTTTCCTCCTTCAACCAGGCGGCTCAATTTGTCCGACTCGGCGCACGAGGACGCCTCCCCTTACTACAGCAACGATTTCTCTCATTTTACCCGCGTCTTCCTTTTGCTAGTCCAAGGACTACCATCATGAGCTCCTCAGAGGACGACGCACCCCTCATGCGCGCCAATGGACGTGGTAAAGGTGCGTTCCTCGGGTGATTCGGCTGTCATTATGCACCTCTACAATTTGTCGCGCAGCTTTGCTTTCCTTGCACTTCGTATTCTCACTCTTATATCTCCTTTACTTCCTTCACAATTGTATTTTTCTTATCTGTACTCGATGGCACATCTCGCACTTTGACGTCACTTTCTTCACAATTCCAACATAATCGGACGGCATTCTAACACAGCGGTTCTACACTTCTAGTTTCCCACAAGTCTCCCGAGGTTGTCAAAATGGCGGATTCTAGCCCTGCCACGAACGGCCATGTTGATCCTGGAATATCCATTCGATTTGGTCCTGTCGAAGACAAGGACGTGAAGATGGAAGATGGAGAAGATGCGCTGGGTGCCGGTAAGCGCAAGTCTCGGACCAGTCTGGGCGAAAAGAAGTCCTACGCAGAAGCAGAAAGCAGCGAAGAAGATGAGCCTTTGGTACGCCTATCCCCGTCGCGGAATGACCCTTGTTATTCCCAGTGCGACCATACCGTCGCTTTCGGTTGAAGCGTCTGACCATTCGACAGAGCAAACGCCGCCGTACATCTGTGAAGCATGAAGATCCCGAGACCGATGATGATGTGCCTTTGGCACGCAACGGACGCAAACTTCCCAAGGCCGCCGAAACATCCATCGGGGATGAGTCCGATTCCGACGTCCCCATTGAACGCAAACTCGCTGCGCAAAAGAAGAAGATTGAACAAACGGCGGAGAAGGAGGCCAAATCTGCGCGCAAACCTGCTGCACCAAAGAAGGAAGCTAAGCCTGCGGCGGCCAAGAAACAGACAAACGGCGTGAAGAAAGAGCCGGCTACCAGCAAAGCTGCCCCCAAGAAGGTGAAGGCCGAACCTGCCTCGGCCAAGAAGGGCAAAGTGAAGGCAGAAAGCCAGGACGCCGAAGAAAAGGATGAGGAGGAGGATGAATACCGCTGGTGGGAAGACCACAGCAAAGGTGATGGAACCATCAAGTGGACAACTCTAGAGCATAATGGTGTGGTTTTCCCTCCCGAATACGAAGTGCTGCCTGGGAATGTCAAAATGAAATATGACGGTGTTCCGGTCTCCCTTGCACCGGAAGCCGAAGAGGTTGCTAGCTTTTTCGGCACCATGCTCAACTCTACTCACAACGTGGAAAATCCTGTGTTCCAGAAGAATTTCTTCGGTGACTTCAAAGAAGTCATCAAGAAGAGCGGCGGAGCGAAGGACGCAAAGGGGAACAAGATAGACATTAAGGAGTTTGCGAAATGCGACTTCAAGTCTATCTTCGACTTCTACGACGCTCAGCGTGAAGAGAAGAGAAATCTGCCACCTGCAGAGAAGAAGGCCGCAAAGGCCTTGAAGGATGAACAAGAGGCTCCTTACCAGTTCTGTGTGTGGGATGGTCGCAAGCAGAAGGTGGGCAACTTCCGTGTGGAACCGCCTTCTCTGTTCCGGGGCCGCGGTGAGCACCCCAAGACCGGGCGTGTCAAGACGCGTGTGCAACCTGAGCAAATCACCATCAATATTGGCAAAGATGCCAAGGTCCCACCGCCACCTCCTGGCCACAAGTGGAAGGAGGTCAAGCACGATCAGGAAGGCACCTGGCTTGCCATGTGGCAGGAAAATATCAATGGCAACTACAAGTATGTCATGTTAGCCGCCAACTCCGATGTCAAGGGACAAAGCGATTTCAAGAAATTTGAGAAAGCCCGTGAACTCAAGAAGCACATTGAGAAAATCCGCAAGGATTATCAGAAGAACCTGAAACATGATATGATGGTGGAACGACAGAAGGCCACGGCAGTCTATCTTATTGATCAGTTTGCCCTGCGTGCTGGAAATGAGAAAGGTGAAGACGAGGCCGAAACCGTCGGTTGCTGTTCTCTCAAGTATGAGAATGTTACGCTGAAGCCCCCAAACACTGTTGTCTTCGATTTCTTGGGTAAAGATAGTATTCGGTTCTACGATGAAGTGCAGGTCGATCTGCAAGTCTTCAAGAACCTGAAGATCTTCAAAAAGGCACCCAAGAAGAACGGCGATGAAATTTTCGACCGCCTTACGGTAAGTTCTCGCATTTTCTTGCAATCTTGAATGTTACTGACGAATGAAAGACTTCTGCCCTCAATAAGCATCTTGCCAACTACATGCAAGGTCTGACCGCCAAGGTTTTCCGTACCTACAACGCGTCTTATACCATGGGTTGTGTTCTCAACGAGATGAATGCTACCGGCGGTACCATCGCCGAAAAGGTAAAAGCATACAACGATGCCAACCGCAAGGTTGCCATCTTGTGTAACCACAAGCGCACTGTCACTGCTGGTCATGCCAATGCAATGGAAAAGATGGGTGAACGGGTGAGTTTTGTCTATTTTGCCCTCATGGCGACAGGCACAGTGCTAATGAATTTTTAACTATGCAGATCAAGGGCCTTCGATACCAGAAGTGGCGGCTGAAGCAGCAAATGCTTGACTTAGACCCAACTCTGAAGAAGAAGAGGGGTGCGGCATTCTTCGAAATCGACGAGGATCTCGACAAAGAATGGATCGAAGAACACCAAACCTTTTTGATTGAGGAACAGAGAACCAAAATCTCCAAGAAGTTCGAGAAGGACAACGAAAAGCGCGTTGCTGATGGCGAGAAGGAAATGAAAGCTTCCGAGCTCGAGGAGCGCCTGCAGGTCGTGAAGGAGATGGAGAAGAAGTTCAAGAAGGAGAACAAAACTGGCAAGGTCGAGGCCGAGGCCAGAGGTGCAACCGTTGAAAGGCTCGAGGGTTCCATCACGAAGATTGACCAGCGGGTCGAAACGATGTCCGTCCAGGCTCAGGACAAGGAAGACAACAAGGAGGTTGCCCTGGGTACCTCGAAGATTGTGAGTTTCTTATTTTTGGGGGTCTGATCCCTACGATATCACCAGCTAATTATTCTCATTAGAACTACATTGATCCTCGCCTCACTGTCGTCTTCAGCAAGAAGTATGACGTCCCCATCGAAAAGTTCTTCTCCAAGGCGCTGCGTGAGAAGTTCGAGTGGGCCATCAAGTCTGTTGAGGAGGACTGGGAATTTTAATCTACCATCCCCCTCGCCTTGATTACTCGGTTGCAATTTCCGTTTTTTGCGCACATTACTTTCTTCGTACTATATTTTCGGTTTCACTCAGTCTGCCTTGGCAAGACTAGGTGACTTTGTTTTGTTTTTCAAATAATTCTTTCAAAATCTAGCCATTGATCTATTTGGATCCCTGGTTGCATTCGCGTGCATGAGAAAGAATTGACGCTGCCAATGGCATTTTCATGGTTTTCGTTATAGTGGCTTGGCTCAGGGTGCGAGCCTGCATTAGTGGCGGCCGTGGGTACGATATGATCGGTATACGCCAGTATGCACGAGGGGAAAAAAAGAAATATCACAAAAAAAGCATCACAAAAGACCCATCGATTCGGTTGGCTGGGTGGCTTGGTTCAATGTACGCACACTCATGCATGGCAGTCGGACATCTTGCACAGTTTCTGTTCCGCTACTCTTTGTCATTTCGGTCATTGGGTTAGAATTCGCGAATTAATTCGTTCAATTGTTTCCGTTCAAATTTTGCATAAATGTCTCCCTCGTAGCGTTATGTAGTTACATATGTACCAAATACCTATCCCCTTCTATTTTAGTTCTCACATCTTGCCGTTTTCTAATGTCAGAGTAAAATTGAGCACGCCCCTAATTAGGAATGTGTATGCATTTCTACTATAAATATACGTGGTGGCTCCCCTGAATGATATGCAGATCCAATATCGAAAGTGGGCTCGAGATGTGTCTCACCTTTTCTTAAATCGATCACCGGTTTTCTCACATGAAGGGTGATGAACATGATAAAATTAGTATTAGCCCAGACCTAACCAAATACCAATACAGAAGTGTAAAGCGTGTATTCTTGTATAGGTGCATATATACCTATATATCTCTAGCTCTTAGGTCTGGGTTGTGGATATATCCTCCGTGGAACCTGCACAACATATCTGCAGGGTCTATTCTATGCATAATGCATGGCAATAATAGGACTAGCGCTCTATTTCTGAACCCAAATCCGTAAGAGAACGTTGATTTAAGATAGAAATAGAATATCAGAAAAATTGGGGAAGGGCTCAATATGCTGCCAATGCAGGGCGATGCAAAATGTAAGAACAAGGAAGGAAATCGGAATAGCAACATATATGCAGGAAACAAGAAAAAAACCCCCATATAACTGCGATTATCAATTACAGTACAAGGTCAATTCACATCTAGCGATGCTAGACAGGTTTGTCTGGATAAATAGCTTCAAAGGTAGTCAGAGAGAGGGGAGGAAAGGTGGGCAGTATGGTGTATGGAGATGTAGATCATGAGATGGTCGTGTGGTAGGGGAATTCAATGCATCATTTTTCAGACACAATGCGACAAGGTGACCGATTTTCCTCATCGGGTAGGGGAGACCGTTAATGAATCATGGGGGAAAAAAAACAAATATAGAAAGATAGAAAGAGTAAAATAACCGACGGACGGGATATCTTCAAAAATGAAAACAAGAAAAGCAAAAGACGAAAGATCAGTGGAATCCTCTCTCATGGCCACCAACCCATACGCTTGTAGCTGTCCACAATTTCGCGGATGCTGTCAGCGCCGAAGTTCGGGTACAATGGCTTCCAGCCAACCTCATTCTCGAACTTGGACCCGTCAATGGACATATCATCACCCTTGATAACGTCACGCTCTAGGAACGGACTGATCGGTCCCGGCCGCGTGATGTTTGCCCTCTCGACGAGCTCAGCCCAAGTCTGCAGGCCGACCTCATTCATATCATCGAGTACATCGTCCATGTTCAGCTTAGCGAGCTGTGAAGCAAGCGACCCGATGAACACGACCTTGAGATCGAACACCTCCATCAGGGCTTTAGCAACGTGTTCCTGTTTCGTGTCATTATGATCGACAACATTGAAAGTAACAACCCCAGTATTGGGATCGATGAAGCCCTTCGCGGCGCGCCATTTGGCAGCCGCGAACAGCGCGCTAGCAGCATCCTTAACATGCAGAGTGTTAATTTTCAAGTCCTTGGTATGCAATAAAACCAAGTCTTGCTTGAGATCGACATAGACGGCGGATAGACAAACGCCCGTGGCGAAGTATCCTGAGTCGTAAGCGCCGTAGACGTGGGGCAGACGTAGAACGCAGTACTGCAGATTCGGAATTTTACGCATATCCTCCGCAGCCTTTAGTTTCCACGCGGCTAGCTTGTGCCAGGGGGCGAGTTTGTCTGTTTCCTTTCGTGGCGTTGAACTACCCTTGTAGACGTGCGCGGTGGAGGTCTCGACGAAGGCGGGGATGCCGCGTCGGGCGATTTCCTTGCCGAGAGCGAGAGAGAGAGCGTAGCTGCGCACTTCGTAGACATCGTCTGGTTGGGAGTGGCGTGTTTCTCCGCCGCAGTTAATCACGTAGTCGAATTGTTCGCCGTTGGCTCGGTCGAAGATGCGCGGGAAATGTTCTGTGGGTGGGGAACGGGGTTTATGTAAGAATTTGATTTGGGGTTTTGGGATGAGGGGATTGGGCTGGGTCACTTACGTTCACGGCTGGCATCTGCCTGGACGAATTTGTCCTTGGAACATGCTTCTTCGAATTCTGGGGCTAACCAGGCCAATTGTGGGAGGACTTTGTCTACCAACCGGACTTCCGAGGCTAAATTGTTCTCGTGGATGTATAGCGCGAGGTGTCGACCGATGAAGCCTGAACACCGGGAATGTCAGTCGGAAAGGAATTATATTAAGACAAAGTAAGACATACCGAGACCACCGACAATCAGAACAGCGGGTTTTTTGGAGTCGGCCATTTTAGTTGTGAACGAAAAAAAGATCTCCCCGCAGGTTCAGGAGAATGAAAGGGGGGAAAGGCGAAGGACGGGAGAAAGGAGGGGGGCGGACTAAACGGGCAAAGGGGAACAACTAAAAAGAAACAGAAACTCAGGAAAGAATCCGAAGAATATTATTCGAAAAGAAAAAGAAAAAAACAAAATTATTATTCGGGATTCTCATCTCCCCTGCCAAGCCGGACAATCCACGTTGATAGCGAGTGGGTTACAGTGGAAACACCAGCATATACCTGTGACGTCGAATGGGAGATAGTGTGGTGTTAGTGAGATTAGTGCGATGATTACGGGGCAGAATTCCACTCATTTCATTCGAAGTCCATTTTACACACTTTGTATGTCGTACTATGTTGTACTAGTTTGTGAGACCAAATCCATGTCTCTTTGTGATGTACGGAGTATACCTGTCCCCAAATGCATTGGTCCCATGGTACTGGGTTTCCGATCACCCGAACCATAGATGCTAAGCCTTTTCTATGCTTAATTTGGCTCATCCATGTCCGTTGATTAATTTCAGCTATTACAGTACTAATTACTTTCCATAGAATGACTGCTGCACGTCATCTTGGGCTTAAATGAACGACTAAAATGTTGCGAGCTGAGCCATTCGATGTGTGTACAAGTACTACATAGAGTTATTAGAAGCAATTTCGGGATATCACTCCTTTTTAAAATTGCAGTCGTATGTTGTACATACTGTTTGTTCTTCGAGATGAACTATTCTTAGAGTTGAGGTTGAAACTTGCTGAGTACGAGCCTCTGGCCCCTGCATACAATCCAGAAGGGATGAGTGGACAAGGCGGGGCCCTTGATGATGGGCGGAGGGCGATCTTGCGGACACGGCACATAATCGAACATCGAGGAAACTCGAAGAAGAGCGTGAGCGGCTCTTCTTTGCCCATGTCCGACTTCATGGAATCTCTTTCAAGGCCCGGCAGATAAACATAGAGAACAAAGGGTAGCTCAAAATTAGACTAATGTCGCAATGTCAGATAGAAGTTGGCAGATGTTCTTCAAAAATAGATATTGGAACACTGTGACACAGTCTCTCCCTTTCCTGGCCATTTCACACTATGTTAGTAGCCCTATGCTGATAGGCAGATATCTTCTCGTGGTCTATAGAACAAGTCCAAGTGGTTGATGAGATAAATTCTGAGATAACAGCCTTTAAACGTTTAGCAGCTTAGGGACTCGTTGGAAAGTTTGATATAAGCATCAATTTTATGAGCAGGCCAGCATCAATCGAAACCAAGAGTCTGAAAAAGGAAGAGCGCACAGTCACGTATATACATTGACAGGTATGAAAAATAACATAATAGTATTCAATCTCATTTTGTAGCTAGAACCCGGACACCATTTCTTCCATATTCCAAATTTTGCTCACGAGGACTATAAATTATCAGCCACTGATAGGCCATGGGCTGAGTAAAGCGAGCCAAGTGCCTTCACAGGATTGTAGGTTAAGTTCACTCTAACATGTTTCTCTATAACTGTGCAAGTATGTGCAATGTGTATACCTGGCTCGTTGTTGGTTGCACAGCTCATGAGACTGGCTGAGCTTGCCAGATAGGTCAGTAGTCATAATTATCAAATTACGTACTGCTACTAAGAATTGATGACGATGGTCATTTCTCACTTGATAAGTCGTAGGTCATGGGTGTAGAGCATTTGGATGGTTTGGCAGAGCTATCCAGCACTTGTTTCTTGATGAATGAGGTTATTTCTTCGCAATCAAGTCATATCAAAGATAGTCCGACGATTTTCCAATAAATGCACCAACGCACGGATCTTATCGACAACCCAAACCAGACTACGCGAGTATAGAGCAATTTCCATGTAAGACCTTTCGGCCTTCGATATAACTAAGTATATCTATACCCATGAACGATACTGGTGTAGCATGTCATGAAACAATATACTCTCTAGGTTTATTTACCTATACTTTAAGGTTCTAGCTCGGACTTTTCTTGGTAATCGACCTACGGAGCAAATGCCACATCCAGACCTTTCTGTCTTAAATCTTGGAACGGTGGAGTCGGAGAGTGGAGCCGATCTTGCGTACCGTGCCCCTTTCTGCCACGTGATAGAATAAATTGTCTAATGGAAGCGGGTCTACGGGTCTCTGCGCGAATTATGCGAAACCACCGTAGGTCACCCCACTTGGTAATACCTCTTCCACGTTCAAGCCTACCCTTGAAGTAGCAAGATGTAGCGTGTCGTACTAGTATCGGCGCTTCCGGCAGGTAAGGAACTGTGTGCTGGGATAGGAAGGAATTGACTCATGGATTGGTTTAGGGCCTGGGTGCTAGCAAGCTATGTGCTAGATCCGGGTCCCGGTCAAACACAATCTAGTTTAGCGGGTCTGCCAATGGCCAGGACCTAGATTTGGTCAAGGCTATTATCTGGTCTACCAGATTTCGCAAGTCATAATGGTGGATGGATAAGACTTGGCGATATTTCAGGTGGAAATTGGGCCCTATATTCTCGGTATAAGACTATGGAGCGCGAAGAATTTTCCTAGCGGAACCTCGGATGGGAATTCGAGACAAAATGAATATGAGACAGATCAAGATGAACAGGAAAGAGTTACACTGGTCAAAGCCAATAAATTTCATAACAGCCAAAAGTATATTCATATTGCTCTAACAACGGGAAGAGTAAGCGAAGGTGAGATCATACAAGCACATAAAATCATGATGCGCCTAGACACTTCAACGAGTTTCTAAGCTCCTTGATAGCGGTATCAACATCATCGAAAGTCAAAGCAGAGACCGCCCAGCGAGCATGCTTCTGTGCCAACTGCACAGTGTTATCATCTAGACCGTGGGATGGTTGAGATGGGACATAGGGAGCCGGTGCAACCGGAGCGTGAGCAGCGGGGCGCGGAACAGATGCCGGAGCAACCGGAGGCGGGGTAGGAGCACTAGCACTTGGGGTATCGTAGAAAGAAGCCGGGTCTGGTGTGGAGACGGATAGATCGTCAGATGGCGGAGGGAAGGACTGGAATGCAGTCGGGGTATCTGGAAGCTTAGGCACTGAGGACGAACCGCCAATGGTCGCTGGAGTTGACGGTAGCTCTAAGCCGCCTTTGTTGGAATCATCATCCATTGGTTGCAGAGGAAAGCCAGGTGTATTGCGGGGGACAGAAGGGATCTCGGGCGGGGCACGAGGTGTTGACGATGTACGTGATGGATGAAGCGATTCATCTAAAGTCGATTTCCGAGCCAGCTCTCGTCCAAGATGGTCGGACTCATCTGGGATCTCTTCGATAGAGGCTTGTCTTGGCTTAGAGGCCTGCTCCGCGACAGACTCGTCAAATGCCTGAACGTCGGGGTCGTCGACGAGTTCTTCTTCCTGCTTCGGCGCGGGATTTGTCGCGTTGGGATCTTCGCCGGCTTTAAAGGCCCTAACAATACGGACTGCGTGGAATTTGGCGAATTTGATCCGCCCAGCAAGTTCTGGGTCCAGGGGCCCCCAGATTGAACAAAGTTCAAGGAACGTGGCCGCTGCCTGGAAAGTATCTGCCGTTTGCCTTTTCGGGTGATTAGCAATTTGTGGCTCAAAGCACCACTTGGAGAGCTCACTTTGTGACTTTGTTGGCGTTCATAGCAGCCTCAGCACGGCCAAAGACCTCCAATCCAAATTGTTCGACATAGGCGCTCGCTGCAACAGTATCTGTCACTGTATCATTGTCTGGGTTTTCTACTTTGAACTATTCCAAGCCAATATCATCAGCTGCTAGATCTCAAGCGCGCGATGCGGAATGTAAACTAGGAGGAAGGGAACGAAGGGAGGGATCCCAACTCACCTGCTCCAGCTTGTCCACAAGGTTTGTCGTGTAGAGTTTGATCTCGTCGTCGGAATTGTGAAGGCCCCTTTCAATAATCTGGTTTACAATATGGAAATTGCCTACATAATTGGGATTCAATCAGCTCAAATATTCAGTTCCGCTATGCGCGGGGTCTTGCGACTCACACCAGTAGGCAACCACAGGTTTGGCCTTCTCAATCTGAGCTGCCCTGATTGCAAATCGCCCAATGTCTGCCGACCGGAGTCCAGCTGGTATGTTGCTCGCCATGGTTTAGGATGTTTGTGTTAAGGAGAAGATGCCTGTGGTGAACAAATGACGTTTGGAGCTCGCGGAGTTCCCACCGCCTGTGTGGGGGGGGGGGGGGNTATCTACCGGTCTTGATTCCACAGGTTGGATACATATGTGTCGCTATGTTACAATACATGACTACCGAGTATTCAACACCTCGGGAAATACATGGACGCCTGGAATCCCCGTAAGTGTTCCTTCACTTTTAACTGATGACTCTTTTCCCCTCGAATTGGATTTCCAACCCCAATCCCCTATCACGCGATTTTAGCGTGTTCGAGAGGAATTTAACATGCCCGATGACGAGATGATAGGTTGGAAAATCAATAGATCGAACGGGAAGGGAGATCGGGGAATGATGTGGCCTGCCTTACGTGGGGATAATTCAAAGGCTCTTCCTAACCACGTTTTTTTTTTCTCTCCCCGACCAACGCAGTCACCGAGGCCGGATGCATGGAATGTTCCATGCATATCACTCTTACCGTATAATTTACTATATTATATACTCTAAAAAAAAGGACAGAGCACACTGTATAAGCATGTACATATATCTAAGCGCCTGTCCCCTCTCCGCGGCACTTCTCACCTTCCCGCCCAGCGCTCACGATCCTAACATGGTAGAAGCGCTGCAACGTCTCCCGTTTCTAATTTTATATTTTTATCAAGTCTTACTCTGATGTTGTATTTCTGCTGGGGTGTTGGATATACGGTTGGATGAGAGTGCTCTATACACTGCGGTTGCAATATCTAAGTGTTCCCACAGGTGCAGTTGGTATTCGCACAATTCCCACTGCTGTGGACTAGGCTCTATCGTTATTATGGGGCTGTTGGGGTTCTAATTGTTTGGAGTTAGTCGCTTGTAGTAGGTTTCAGGGCGTATGTCTTTTTTTAGTGAGATTGTGTTAGTGGGAATGAAACACCGATAATGCGACTGTATGTACGGAAGAAACAGGTTCACAACCTACCTCCGTATGTCTCAATTATAAGTCTATATATTATTGGAAGTGCGGATTGTCACTCATTCTGACGCTGTGCGGATTGAAGACTAATTCCATTTCTCAACAAATACACAGACTTCTCAACACATACACAATCTTCTTAACAAATACACAGTCTTCTCAAGTCCCAATCGTAACCCCATCTTCAAGACCACCTAACTAGCTATTCAAACAACAGAGTAAAAACCCCAAGTCTCAGCTACCCGCTGTGCTGAAACTGCTTGAGTAACGAGTTAATGAAGCTCAATCCAGTAATTGTCAACGGTCATCTTCGCAGTGCCGGTGAAAGGCTCAGTGCCAGCCTGGATAGTCTTCAAGTACTTGTTATTGTCCACACCATGGTTGTAGACAAGGTGATTGAAGAAATCCAACATGTTACCACCAAAGTTCGTAATAGTAGACCTAGCGACGAAGCTGTAGACAGTCATTTTACCATTAGGACCGACCCATAAATCCCACTCGTGGCCACTAATCCAGACTGTAGCGATAGCCTTACCGGTGCTAGAGATCGGGCCCGCACTACCGAAGGAAGCAAGCCACACAATAACCTCGATCTCCTCATGACCGTCAGGAGAAGAAGCGAGGAACATGTCGTAAGACACATCGGCGACCATATTAGAGGTCGAGGTGCTATTCCAAAGGACAATATTTCGAGTTTCTAGGAGCATCAGCTGAAATAGGAAATTGATAGGTCAATTATATAGCCCTACTGTGAGCTTTTCACTTAGATAGGATCGAGACCGCTAGGATAAACGGTCACATTGACGACGCCAGTCCTTTTTTGATAGGACGATAGGCGATCTAAATAGGAAGGTTATACGTAACGGGGCTAGCGTGTCGCATCCATGGATTTTATTGATATAGCTTACTCAGGCCGCTCATTCCTATGCTCAGTGAGCACTCAGTGATCAAGTCAGAGTACTCAGGGACGTGCTCAATTTTACTCAGAGACTAAAAAGCGGCAAGAGGGGAGCGCTAAAACGGAAAGGGAAAGGTCTCAGCTGCCAGGCATTATCCGACACATATGTATTTCCGACTGTAATGGGTATCATTCATCTTCAATTGCCCACTTTCCAATCTCCACTCTCTCCTCCGCCAATGCTTCCACTTCAAAATGATCCTCCACCTGCCCTCCTGGACCTCCAATCCGCTCAATAACAATCCATACATAGCGTGACTCGCCACTGGGTAGCAAATCGAAATCATTAACTCGTACCCCAGACGCGGCGTCGCTGTGAGTTCCATCCTCCGAGGTGGCCAATATCTCCTTATATGGCCCTTGGCCCAGCTCCACGGTCATCAGCACGGGAGACGGAGCAACAGCGCGAGAGCCGATTGTAGATCGTTTATTCCTCGCAATAAGTCGGATCCGTGTTAAACGAGAGACCCGCAGAGAAGCCAGCATCCGGTCCTTGCCCGGCGACAAAACACCCACTTCAGATAGGACGGCGCGCCGCCCAGCAGACTCGGAAACCAAAGGCTGGACTACACACGGGATCGTGGATGAAATCCATAACGTGAAGCGGCCAAGCTGATCAGGTGCAAATGTGGAGCAGACGATAGTATAAGTGCCTTTATCCAGGGATTTTGTCTCGGCCAGTGCGCACCCGCGACGGTAATCGCCACTATCTGCAATGATGTCTCGGCTTCGCACGCGCGATATGCGCTGCCCGTTTGACCAGAAAATTTTCACGTGGGTCGCTAGCTCCGCTTCAGTAGTCTCGAGCAATATAGAGACGTCTGTCGGCTCGGAAATTCGTATACTGAATTGGGGATTGGAGTGGTATCGAGGTGACTCGGCGTTCCCGCCCGCTGTCATTGCTGTCCAGGAACCACTTGCCTTAGTCAAGCATAGATACTTATCTAGCGAGGGTGCCACGGCCACAGGGGCGGTTGAAAATGCAGAGAGTGTGAAATTCTGGGTGGATGATGGGAGTGATTGCTCCGAAACCACTGCGGTGTAGGTCGACTTAGGAGGCATTTCCAGCCTCATAAGCGTGTTGGGAGAGTCCACATATGGCCCCCGATGGAGTGCTCCGTCACTGAGAGACACTCTTCGGCCATCTGCCCGGAAGATATAGATGCTGATAAAGCCCATCTCATTTTCCGATCTCCAAGAACTGGATTGTTGGTGGTCTGTCTTGAAATGCTTCCCGAGCAGCAGCCAGATCGTTCCTCCTGAATCACTGGAGATGGAGAATTGGGGATTCTTCACGAAGCAGCCGGCAATAACTCGACCATGCGACAAATCCCAAGTGAAGTGGATATCCTCGCGGTATTTAAACAAACCCGGATTCCAGTTAAGGTAAAGATTCTCGAAATTTTGGAGCACTTGTTCACAGTCCATCCAAAATGTCCCTGGGGAGAGAGGAGGTTTATTATTCAGGCTGAGTGAGTTGAGATCAGCCGTCAGACTGCTTTGTATATTGGGTTCTGCGCCGGCCCACGGGTTCTTCAAAAGAAACTGACGACGACCCTGGACTTCCTTCAAGTCCAGGATAGCATAATCGTGCTCCCCCACTAGCCCCAGGCCTTGTTGTTCCCGTTCGGTCAATTTCCCAGTGCCGATAGTCAAAACCACATCGCCATGCTGGAAGGCACTGTACAAACGCCCCCATATCTCATCGGAGGTCGAATCGTCATGATGTATGAAGACTTGTTCCGGGATCCAGCCAGTAAGCACCCAAAGGTCAGTCCCCGAGTTACTTCCTGGGAAATCATAGCCTCCGCGGACCTTCAAGTAGGCCTTCTCCACAAAAGCAGGCCACAAAAAGTTCGAGTTATTGCGATCGATCACGTGGAGTGAGCGTGTAGTCTTCGACGATGGCAATCGATCATCTATCACTACCTTTCGAAAAGATCCGTTGAAGTAGAAGCGAAATATGTATTTCCCGGAATACGAAAGTATCGGGTTCTTATCCTCACTGCACGGGTATAGTGTCGGCGATGCATGCTGTTTGAATTAGCTTCAAGGATCCTCGATGTGCGATCAAATTAACCCATACCTGCCCTAGACCTCGTTCTGATCGAGATGTTGTAGCGCAGAGGCTTGCGACCACTGAACAGTCTGTCAAGACATCCTGCACAAGATCTGTTTGTTTTGAAGTCGACATGGCTGGATCAATTACATCATGCGTCTGGTTGGCCACATTCTTTGTCCGTAACAGATCATGCGGCCGTTTCCAGCCCGCGAAAATGTCTCTCTGGCATTCAGAGAGGTGCAAATCGGGCGCATCCCTACACGCGTTTAGAACTCAAGAAAATCAACATTGGGCTATATTTTCCACATACGTAAAAGACTGCCCTTTATATTCAAATTCATCCTGAAGCGGTGCACGACTCCATGGTGGAAAAATATAGCCGTTGAGTTTGGCACCTTCGAGGATGATGATTTCTTCACGGGTGGTGAGCTTCCGCGTGGATGCGGGTGGCCGTAAGCTAGGGAAAGATTTCTGGGGCCCCGCACGCGCAGCCGACTGCCAGTCAGCAGCGGCCTTGATCTTCTCGGCTTTGGACAGCAATTCCTTGCATTTTGTGTCGAGTTGTTTTTTATCGCCGGCGGGCGCCAGGCGCAGCGCTTTCATGTAATGCTCCGCGGCATTGATGGCTGCTTCTAATGCCGCTTTCTTGGAGGTTGCTGCGGCTACCGCCTCTTCAGCGCTCTGTGGGGTCGTTAGCTTTGTTCTTTCGGTAGTAAGTGCAGAATAAAGAATACCAATGCCTGAGATATATATGATTGTGTAGATGCAGGTTTAGACATGATCTTTGACCGGTAGTCGTGGAGTACGGTGTAATCAGATCGAACAGCAAGTAAATTACCGGATTCGGCTGAGCCGAGAGAAGACCACTATTATTAATTCCGGTGAATATTCCGGGACTTGCATTTGGATGTAAAGATTGAGATATTCGATAATTATTATATTGAGAATATAGTATACAATATAATCAATATAATTACACAATTATACAAAGTGCATCCAAACTAAAAAAAAAAAGAAACAAAAGTAAACACACATGATGTAATGGAAGTCATGACATAAGCTCATACACAGGGCTCACCTGGGCACCTGGCAGCACCGAAGTGGACCTCGGCTCGATTTAAGGTGCTAACGCCGAGGTGCATTTGTGAATTCCGGCTCATGGGCTCGGTCTTTTTTTTTTGGTGTTCGGGTGACTTCGGTATGAACATCATCTCTGTACATTTCCCTATTGTGCTCTCTCTTCCATTTCAACATCTCCGTTGTTCGGAGCCAAGCAGTGTAGAGCCCCGCTCAATATTTCTCCTGTCGCCCGGCCGCTAAGAGAAGCGAGCCCTCTTCCTAGATCATATTCTTATTTGTTACATTCCCTTGATCTCAAATACCATTAACTGACATAATGGCTGGTCAATCCAAACCTGTGCTGTCACCATGGGGAAGCGCCGTGGCAGGCGCGACAGGAGCCGTCCTTGCGAACGCGCTGGTGTATCCACTTGACTTGTGAGGTCCCATATATAACAATCTTCGAGTTATCAGATCAAACCCCGCTGACTGTATCCACCCCAATTTGTAGAGTCAAGACAAAACTACAAGTACAAGTCAAGGAGAAGAACGGACCCGCGCAAACCGATGACCTCGAACATTATGAATCGACTATGGATGCTATCACCAAGATCGCGGAGAAGGAGGGCTATAGTGGTCTGTACTCTGGAATGGCTGGAGCCCTTCTAGGTGTCGCCTCAACAAACTTCGCATACTTCTACTGGTACAGCGTCGTAAGGACGCTCTACGTGGCTTCTGCCAAGTCGACACAGGCCCCCGGCACAGCGATTGAGCTCTCCCTGGGTGCCGTCTCCGGTGCTGTGGCTCAAATTTTCACCATCCCGGTGGCCGTTATCACGACTCGACAGCAGACACAGCCGAAGGGCGATAAGAAGGGGTTGATCGAGACGGGTCGGGAGGTGGTCGAGAGCGAGGACGGCTGGACCGGCCTGTGGCGCGGCCTGAAGGCTAGTTTGATCCTGGTGGTTAACCCGGCCATCACCTATGGCGCATATCAGCGCCTGAAGGAGGTTATCTTCCCGGGGAAGAACAACCTCAAGCCCTGGGAGGCATTCCGTGAGTAGTGGTAATTCTCGGGGTCAACAATGGCTTGCTAATTGTTATTTAGTTCTTGGTGCCATGTCCAAGGCTTTAGCCACGATCGCAACCCAGCCTCTGATCGTCGCCAAGGTTGGATTGCAGTCTCGCCCACCGCCCAGCCGAAATGGCAAGCCCTTCAAGACCTTTGGTGAGGTTATGAAGCACATTGTTGATAATGAGGGTCTCTTTTCCCTCTTCAAGGGCATTGGACCTCAGATCCTGAAGGGTCTTTTGGTCCAGGGTCTGCTGATGATGACTAAGGAGAGGTATGTTTCCTGTTTCCAAATTAGTATTTGCTTATACTAACTTTCACGAAGGATGGAGCTTCTTTTCATCCTTCTGTTCGCCTACCTCAAGAACATCAAGAAGGATAAATTGCGCAAGGCAGTGGATCTGGCAGCGGAAAAGGCCAAGACCAGCATGCCTGCTACTCTGAAATAATTGTCTTATAGTTAGACGGAGGGACTTTTGGTTCTCCCTTCGATTCCAAATTGTGTTTACCTAACTGGCGCGTTGCTATGCTGTTGGCAATTCTGGTGGATTTTGAACGGTCTAGACATTTCCCGGCATTTCTTGCTGGAAACACTTGATATGATAGAACCCTGTGTTTCTAGCTTTTCAATATCATCATAGATCTGTACATGGTCATGTCATCGCTTACTTGCTTTAGGATCCATACAATTCTTGTCTATCAAGGCACTGTGTAGGTCCACGGGTAGCTAATTATAGTTACTAAGAGACCCGGGTTCACGGGCTTTAAGCGTGTAAGCCTCTAGAGAGATAGCAATAATCCTTGACAGCGCGATTTTTCTGTCGCAATTCTATACTTAAACCGGCCGGTAACCTTTGCGCTTGAACCAAATACCACTGCAGAACTAAATCCCGAATGTGGGACGAAATTGAGGTAGGACAAAACTAACGGTGAGCTTCATGTGTCGGCTTTCCTCCGCAACGATGCCTATCAGTCAAAGAAACAGATATGCTCACTCACGATCTTGATATCTCCGTACTTGGGGGCGTCGAAACCCTACAGCAACTGGCCCTGACAGTTTTCCTGCTGATCCTAGTTTATGTCTTGATCAATGAGGTGCTTTGCCATAACCAGCAAATTCCAGGGCTTGCGATTCCACCAGTGCTTCCTCTTGTCGGCAACCTCCACCAGCTTCGAACAAATGCAGCCCAGCAATACCGTGAATGGGCTAAAGATCTCGGCCCAGTTTACCAAGTTCGACTTGGAAGTATTCCAGTCATGGTGATCAATAGTGCTGCTACAGCCAAAGTTATCCTCGGACATAACTCCCAGGCTACCGCCTCGAGGCCTCAGCTCTATACATACCACAAGGTTTGCTCAATGACAGCTTAGGCAATGTCAAATCTCTAACAATGGTGGTATCCTAGCTTGTCTCTAATACTGCAGGGACAACAATCGGAGCTGCACCCTACAACGAATCTTTAATTCGTCGGAGAAAAGGTGCAGCCTCAGCTTTGAATCATCCCTCTGTCGAGACATATGTTCCACATCTCGATATTGAAACTAAGGACTTTCTAGAAGGTCTTTTGAAATATGGAGACTCTGGGAGGAAGCCAATCAATCCTGTCGCTATGCTGCAAAGGCTGAGTTTGTCACTTGCCTGCACGATTAACTGGGGTACCAGAATCATAAGCCATAATGACCGATTGCTTTCCGAAATCACTCATGTGGAAACCGAAATCAGCCGGATTCGAAGTACCACCGATAATCTGCGAGACTATATACCCCTTCTTCGTTTCATTCCGTATTCTTCTGGAAAACGGAAGGCGGCTGCGTACCGCCAAAGGCGTGACAGGTATCTGGCAAAACTCAATGGAGAACTCGAGGAACGGATTAAGAATGGGACGCACAAGCCATGCATTCAAGCAAATGTTATTCTTGACAAGGAGGCAAAGCTCAATGAAGTCGAGCTAACATCAATCAGCCTATCGATGCTATCTGGTGGCTTTGAAACTACTACTGCGGTCATGACTTGGGCAATTGCGCTTCTTGCTATGAGGCCAGATATTCAGAGCAAAACTATTACTGAAATTCGGAATATGTACGGCATCAATGACCTGCTATGCAATGTAAATGACGATCAGAAGTGCAAATACATTGCTGCAATTGCACGTGAGAGTCTGAGGTATGGACATCGGGATCTCGCTATTTGCGCGCTGATCTGATCTTTGATTAGGTACTTCTCGGTTCTTCGTCTCTCGCTCCCAAGATTAACGAATAAAATGTTTGTGTACGAAGGCAAGACGATCCCTACTGGTACAACTATCTTCCTAAACTCATGGGCCTGTAACATGGGTAAGAATGTGATATTTCCCCGCCTAGATCCTATCTAAATTCCAATACAGACTCCGATCTCTAGGACAACCCGGAAGATTTCCAGCCCGAAAGATGGCTGAAGCATCCAAACAAGCCTATCTTCACATTTGGTGTTGGCTATCGCATGTGTGCTGGCTCTTTGCTGGCCTATCGAGAGTTGTATTTGACCTTTCTGCGAATGCTTGCCGCATTTGAGATTGTAACTGACAGGCCGATTGAAACGCATCCAGTCAAAGGGGTTGCTGACCTGACCAATCTGGTGAGCATGCCAAGGGAGTATGAGGTTCGATTTGTTCCACGAAACCAGAGTGCTTTGCGGAGTGTGCTGGAAGCGAAAAGTGCCTGAGTCTGCTGGAATCAATAAACACCCGTGATTTCATAAGCTCTGTTACTAAAACGCAACAGATTATGCAGGGCCTGGAAGCATCTTAGATGTATCTGAAGCGTTTCAGGGTGGGATCTTGAATCTTGGAGCTTCCCATGTCGAATGATGATGGAAGCGTGTGGTGGTTATGCCTACCGAGTATCCAGGTAGAATAAAAATCATGAAGATACTGGGGGCAGGGAGTCGTGTGATAATGAATCCCCCCAATATAAATTATAGATAGAGGACGCGGCAGTGTGTTGATTGTTTACCAATAAGAGGAGGAATTGGTGGTTGTAGCTTTACCCGTGCAGATGATCTTCGCTTGACCGATCATCTTTTACCCCAACAACCACCCTCACCAAACGCTCGTTCTCACATCACATAAACTTGTCACATAAGTGGCATGGGTCGTGATGCGATGGCCGCCATGGAGCTCCGAGTCGACCAATGACGAACAAAAACAAACACCCAGCTCCAGGCTCTCCTCCGCGGCGAACAACCCGAGCTCCATCCTCGACTGGACAGCGTTCACAGAATTCAGAACGATTGTCCCAACCCTCGTCCTAACAAGCGGTATTCTCATCGCAGTGCGCTTCCACCGCCGCTACCTACGGCGCATCCCCGACGCGCCTAGCATCTCGTCCTCGTATCTTCGACGGCGGAGCATCTTCGGCCAAGTCACCAGCGTCGGCGATGGAGACAATTTCAGGATATTCCATACACCGGGTGGCCGCATGGCTGGATGGGGCTGGCTACCGTGGAAGAAGGTTCCTACCCTGAAGAAGGATCTGAAGGATAAAACCGTTCGTCACCTACCACCTACCTATTCTCCCACCCGTGGCGCTTCCAGCCCAGAACAGGCATAATTATGCCTCGGCATATCATATACCACAATCCTATTCTTTACATCTAAATCTAGCTTACATATTTACTCGAACCCAGATCCACATCCGCCTCGCTGGCATCGACGCCCCAGAACTAGCCCACTTCGGCCGCCCCGAACAACCGTTCGCGCGCGACGCACACACCTGGCTAACATCCTACCTGACCAGCCGACGAATCCGTGCTCTCGTTCACCGGCAAGACCAATACTCGCGCGTGGTAGCGAGTGTCTTCGTCCGGCGCGCATTTGACTTCCCTCCATTCCGTCGGCGGGATGTTTCGTATGAGATGCTGAAGCGTGGCTTAGCGACTGTCTACGAAGCAAAGGTTGGCTCTGAGTTTGGCGGTGAGAAGATGGAAAAGAAATACCGCAAGGCCGAGTGGTGGGCTAAGAAGCGAGCTAGGGGGCTTTGGAAGGATTATGGTCGTGTCGGATCTGATTGGGAGAGTCCGAGGGAGTACAAGAATCGAATGGGCATGGGAGATCCTGCTCCGATCGAGAAGGGGAATGGGAAAGGGAAGACTGGGAAGAAATAGATGAATGAGTCGCCGTAAGCTGGGCTTGCGATTATGGCTATGAGCGTTTATGTGTTGTTTTTCTTATGTTCTGGCATTTGCATTTGCATTTACATCTGCATGCGACGAGACGGCACGACTACAATTTTACTATACAGCGTTGTACATGTATTGCTGGTATGCGATCATAATTGAATCGCATTTTGAATGTTGAATATGATACACCAAGTTGCGTTAAGCTATACATGCGCGGGGGCCAGTGTTGCCCCCAGATCAGGCCCCAATTGCTAAATGGGCATTAAGAATCGAGTAATCTCCCCAGGGATTGGAAGACCACAAGAAAAGAAGTCAGTATACAGGCTATTATTTGCTCAGCAGAACCGCCGCTCAATCTCGGCAAACAGCTTTGGGCTGATTTCGTCGGAGCTATTACCCTCCGCACGGAATAGACACCGCTGACGGTCATAATGGTCCAGGAGAGATTTGCTCGTCTCCTCAAACTTCCGTAGACGCTGCTTCCATGTATCGAGGGAATCGTCCTCTCGCTGCGTCAGCGGCTCGCCCGTTACATCGTCTTTGCCCGCCACCTTTGGTGGGTGGAAGTCTGTGTTATACACGCGCCCTGAGGGCTCGTGGACCCAGCGTGATGCGATGCGGGCGAGAATCACTGATGGTGGAGTGATGATGTGTACGACAAAGTTGACCGGTACTAGGCTGTCTAGGGTTGTTGCCTGGGTTGCTGTGCGGGGAAAGCCGTCGAGGATAAACGAGGCAGAGGAATCGATGGAGTAAGCCGAGGAGGAAGTATCGGCTGGAGAAGAAGATGACGAGGATGTTGCGGATAGTACAGAGGATGCGGGTGGTGGGAGGAGCCAGCCCTTAGATTTCATATCATCGGAGATCAGGTTCAAGATCATTGAGTCGGGAACAAGGTTGCCGGACTGCATTGCGGCCTCAGCTTCCAGGCCTGTTGCGATGGTTAGAAATACTAGCTCCGTACACAATTAAACATTGCACCGATGCTGGTTCTACTTACCGAGGGGTGTGCGTCGGCGCACATTCTCTCTCAACAGATCACCCGAGCTAATTGAAGCCAGCTGGGGGAATCGGGCGAGCAGTCGCTCGGACTGTGTGCCTTTTCCTACTCCCGGCGCGCCAATCAAGATGATCCGCGCAGCCTTACGGAGCTGCTTTGTCACATGCGACATTATGTGCGATGGCTGTGTTGAGAGCTCGTCGAGGGTTTAAGGTTGCTGGTCCTGGCGGACTCAACGGTTCAAATGTTGGGGATGCGGGAGGAACCACAGGGATAGTTGTGGACAAGATCACGACAGCATAATGGATTGAAGGGAAGACTCGGAGCTCGGGGTTAATGGATAAGCAGTCGCATATCTCCAGGGCTAGGACTTTTGGGAATGTTGATTCTGTGGGGGAGGTTGATCCTTTCGGCTGTCGGTGAAGACTCCGAGGGAAACTGGATACCTCCAAGGTATATGGGAGCACTCAAGTCTAGGTAATTATGAAAAGATTATATCATAGCATAAAATTGTACTCCATATAGAAAAAAATCAAGTACATATATGTTCTACTTACTTCGTACATTGACTCGGTACAAGTGTCACTTTCACATGTCTCAGCACATGGTCTTAGAAACCCGCTTCGGGGAAAGCATCAGCTGTGCTCCAGCACCCACAGGGGTGGTCCCTGGGGCCGGGGTATAGAATTACGTAAGTTACGCCAAATGATTTTATTTCACGTGATTATGCGCGTAGGACGCGTTCGCGTCGACCAATTTAGTGGAGATCTCATACATTCGTTTCTCGACAACTGAACACAATACCTACATCATGATTCGACAAGACGCCCATCGCATTGATCCCAAACGAAGGGCTGTTATTGACCCCAAAAAAAGACAATTCGCTACTCCAACATACAAGCAGCAGGACTATGCGCACCGTCTGAACATTTACGAAATACCTCCTACCACGGAGATCACCCTCGAACAATTCGAGCAATGGGCTATTGACAGACTGAAGAGTATGTATATTTACATATTCATAGTGTTTTCCTACTTGCTAATACCGAAACAGTCTTGGCCGAGATCGAAGCATGCTCTTATCGAAACAAATCCCCCGCCGAGACGGCGACATACATTACACCTCTCCTACAGAAGTTCCTCCCTCTGTCCTCCAATACCTCCTCTCCCTCCGGTGCTGCAGACCCACGCTTGAAAAATGAGCGCCAAAAGGACCACTACTCCCATTTCATCCTTCGGTTGGCTTTCTCGTCCACAGAGGACCTCCGTCGACGATTCGCCCGCGCCGAGACTATGTTGTTCAGGTTTCGTTTCCAGCAGGATGACTCGAGGGAGAAGCGCGCATTCATTGATAGCTTGAATCTCGATTGGGAACCTGTAGGTGACTTTGAGAAGACAGAGATTGCAGAGAATCTCCTCAGCTCCACGCCAGGGCTGCGTCGGCTGGATGATGAGACCTGGTATAAAGTCGACTGGGAGAAGGTTCCCGAGTTGATTGAACGGCGCTCGGTGTTCCTCAAGAAAGGAAAGGCTTATGTTCCTGGTCGAGAGCAGCTGAGCATGATCATGGCTGAGTTTACCGCTCGCTTGGAGCGCGCACTCGAGGTACGTCTGCAGTGGTGGCTTGATGGTTGAAATTTCGTGGCTGATTTGATTTTAGCTCACGAGTCGTGCCCTCCCCCGGCTGGACGAGGATGATCGTCTAACGCCCATTCTGAATCATCTTTCAAAGAACTTTGGCAGCGCCGAGTCGGTGTACTCGGAAGGCGAAGGATATGTGGATGGATCTCCGATCACGGCCAGCTCCATCGACCAACTGGCTCAACAGCATTTCCCGTTGTGCATGAAGAGCTTACACGTGAACTTGCGCAAGAACAACCACCTGAAGCACTTCGGTCGACTACAGTATACGCTCTTCCTGAAGGGCATTGGCTTGTCATTGGAGGAGTGTATTTTGTTCTGGCGTCAGGGGTTCAAGGGCAAGACTGATGACGAGTTCAACTCTCAATACAAGTACAATATTCGTCACGCCTATGGCGAGGTCGGTGGAGATGTGAACCGACGCGGAAAGGGTTATACTCCCTACTCGTGCCAGAAGATTCTCGGCGATTCAAATCCCGGCATTGGCCAGACTCACGGCTGTCCCTATCGCCATTACTCCGTTGATAACCTGGTGGGCTTCCTCCAGGCCACTGGCGTCAGTGACAAGGAGGTCCTGCGGGGTGTGCGTGAGGACGTTGGTAAGATGCGGTACCACATTGCTTGCAACAGAGTGTTCGAAGCGACGCACAAGAACGAGATCAAAAAGGTCAAGGAGGATGGATCGTGGAGTCAGACTGACCTTGACACGATTGTTCACCCTAACACCTACTTCAAGCGCAGCTTCCTGTTGAAGCAGATGGCCAAGGCTCCGAAGGATGCTTAGGGTGTTTTCACATGTCAAATTTTCATGATGTAATGTCGGGCAGTGTTGCAGTTTCCACGTATTCTCTTTTATAGTTGGCGTTTAGAGGGAGCATAGGCTTGTACGAGCACATCCGAAGCAGGTTCAATTAAAACACGATAATATATTTCTAACAATTATGGTATACAATAGTGGGAGTGTGACCACAGCTGATTCCCAGAGAATCGGAAAGGATCAGAATGACCTCTCAAATCCAGGTGCCCAGCAACGGGTCAAGTCATTCTCCGCTCAACGAGTAGACAACTTTGCCATGGAATGACGGAAGTTGTCGATAATAATATGTTTACACACATTGTAGGCTGGCGTGAAATTGAAGAAGAAAAAGAAAAGAGCGGAAGAAACAGCGGACGAGCCGAGTTTTAATGATGTTTTGGTCCGGGACGCGGTAGAGACCAACTGTGCTGCAACCTGGCCTTACTCACGGACCGGACCTCCACACAACATACTCCTCTATCTCGTTCATTCAATCCCTAGCTATTAACGGGGACTCTGATTTCTTTTGGGACTGGATTATGCTCCGGGTGACTCACTTGCTTTAATTTATTGGAGTAGACCCTAAAATTCCAGGTTCCCTTTCCTCGCGACTTCTCGATATCCGCATATACCCCCTCCCTTTGTCAACATAGGACCGAGTCCCGGAACATCTACCGACAAGATGGATTACGAAGCGCTGAAGGATCAATGGAGCGATGTGGAGGACCGCGATGGCATCAGACTCAGTTGGAACACTTTCCCGAGCACTCGCATGGTTCGTGATAGTGATGCTCTCTGACCTTCACCGCATCATCCGCTGATACTCGATATAGGAAGCGTCCCGCTTAGTCGTTCCCATCGCCGCCGTCTACACCCCATTGAAGGAAAAGCCAGAGGCCCCTTTGCTGCAATATGAGCCCGTTACTTGCAAGCAGCCCTGCCGAGCTGTGCTCAACCCATATGCGTACGTGGCGTGTTACTCTGGTATACCTCAGCGAGTAGTTGGACTGACACTTGGACAGCACTGTCGATGTCCGCGCACGATGCTGGATCTGCCCCTTCTGTCTGTCCCGCAACCCTCTTCCTCCGCATTACAAGGATATCACGGAGAATACGATACCCCCAGAGCTCCACCCCCAGAGCACGACGATTGAGTACCAATTGGCACGACCCGCCCCCGCTCCCCCGATCTTCGTCTTTGTCGTGGACACTTGCCAGGAGGATGACAGTCTGCAGGCTGTGAAGGATTCCCTCATTATGAGCTTGTCTCTTCTGCCGCCCAATGCGCTGGTTGGTCTAATTACCTTCGGTACAATGGTAAGGAACAATGGTGTCCACAAAGCAGCCGACGTGTTATTGATCTTGATATATAGGCCCAAGTTCACGAGCTCGGCTACACCGAATGCGCAAAGTCATATGTGTTCAGAGGCAACAAGGAATACAACGCCAAGCAGGTTCAAGAGATGCTGGGCCTGGCCGGCGGCGTGCGCCCCGGTGTTCCCCAGCAACAGCCTGCCCGTCCTCCCCTCGGCCCAGCTGCCCGCTTCC